TGTAGATGGGAGCCAGCCAGTGGGACACAGCTTGAGAGTGGAGATGCTGCTGCAGGCATATGTCAATATCTGCTCACTAGTTGAGAGATGAGATCGACTGAATTCAAGGTGCACAGGTTCAAATGAGGAGTGATTTCTCAAACAGTCATTCATGAAGCCAAATACAGTAAAACTAGCTGTTCTTTTGAATTTTGCCCAAGTACAATGCTCTCAAGGTTGATTTTAGTTTTGTGGGGAACTTACTTTGGAAAAAAAGATACATGTGCCTTCCAGTGATGAATAAAGATGAAGTTGTATTTTTCTAAGGCATATTGGGAATTGAAAATTTGAATGCATCTGTCATGTGCACTTTCTGTTTCCCTTTTTTTAATTTCAAGGTTTGGTTTCTTAATACAGGCAATGAATCACCATGTTTTACTTATGGAGGTTACTCCCTTCTTCCATGAGGGGACACAAGAACACTAATTTTAAAAAATCCTGTGCTGTATTAATTGAAAAATACCTTTTTTAGCCCATATACCTTTTAAAGTGCTACTTTGTGTTGCATGTAACTTGGTGATTGAATGATGTCTTGTAGGTTGTGTGTGTAGTTTGCTTTTAATTTGCCACATCAAGCTCACCGTCACACACCTGCATGTATGATGCTGCAAAATACCAGAAAAACTCCCAGACTTTTTTGATTTCCATGTTGGATTCCACTGCTGGTCGGTGAGTTTCCATTTCAAGTGTGGGATTCTCTGGCAAATTTGTACTTTCCCAGCAAGATGTCGACTGTGTGGTATTTTTTTTGCTCTGAAACAGCTAATGCTAGTCTCTAAAAATTTTCGTAGAGATGTACGGGGATGTCTCAACTGGGAGGGGGTAAAAATGCCAGTAACTACACATACATGTACGTTTGGGCTTGTGGGACATGACTGATTTCTGCCAATTCCTTTACTTGTACTGCATTACATAAAAATGATAATGGTACATATTGACATCTCGGGGGAAGATTTAAAATCCTTTTTGTGTGGTTGGACAACTTTTCTCTGTTCCACATGCAGTTCCTTCTGCCCAGGTAGTAGGTGCAGTCTGAATTCCTTATGCAAGACAAAGGTTAATTTGACTTTGACTGGCCTGTTCAAATTATGCACGGAAGATGCAAAGAAGTGTTCACAAGATCAGTCAAGTTCATGAGAGTTTATGACCAAATTATCATCCGTTGTTGCTGTCACTGAGTGTATTCCTAGAGCTGTTGGTACATATGGTCCCTTCATGGACCAGTAAGGTATGACAATATTCATGAAATGTAGCCCGTTTCCATGCATGCAACATGCCTTTCATGAATATTTGATCTTAAATACATGATACCTTCACGTAGTGAAAAATTGTGCCTAGAGAAATAGTAGCATAACTATATCACCGTGTTGTCAAAAGGATGTACACGTGTAGACTTTTATTGATACTTTGCTATTGTGGCTGGGTTATGATGTAGCACTACAATGTGATACGTGCATCCGGGGATGAGGGAGGCACAACAAAGGAAGAGAACCATGATGGACAGCCATCATCAAGTAATAACTAACCAGTCCATTAATGTTTCTTCCACCCTCTGGACTGAGTGTTGATATTCATAAATGTCTTATGTTTGAAACCATGTGCAGATTTTTCATACATGTCATACATAAGCTTTATTCAAGCTTGCAGTGCGTGAATTAATCAACTGCTGTGTGCATTTTGCTATTGAGCTTAATGTACTGAATATTTCAGTCAAGGCATGATTGCATTGCAAGAGAAAAATTGCACGATGTTGTTTCATTTAGCATTAGTTCTGCTTCAGTTTATGTAATGGCTTATTTAGTAGCTGTGATGAAGTAAACGTGTGGTAGGTCTGTGAACAAATGCTGAGATATTGGGAGGGCGGATAGCAGAAATGCTTTGGACTTCAACTAGTGAATGAGAAACTCTAACGGAGTCATTGACATTGGTCACAAGTCCCATAGCAATAAAATGTGATGGTGCACATGATCCTGCACCTGTTTGATCTGGGCTATAAAAATCTATCCCGTAGTGTAATTAATGGTCTTCTCTTAAGAGGAAAGACTGTATGAAGTGGACGATGTTAACCTACCGAAAACCTGTTCGAAAATTTGTCTAATTTTCAGTGCCACTTTTTTTTTTCTCTCCTTGGGGGTTACTGATAATGTAGCCTTCTTGTAAGTTTTCAGAGAATGTAAACAATTTGGTTGTCTGGTGTATTTCAAAATAATCAAATCAATAAATATTGATTACCTTGAATGGGGGGGCGTGGCAAGGTACACTAGGTCATCAAAGTACTAAGTACAAAACATGAACCAAATCAAACAAAAATTCTAAAATTCCTGATGTGTTGCTCAGTGCTGCATTTTCTTTATCTGCCAATGGAAAATGTATTTGCAATCATTTACCACCCGTGGTATCATACCATCACTTTACTTTTATTAGCTATTATTACTTTAAGAATGTCTTGAGATATGTGTACAGTGACTTTGCCTCTTCCAACCAGCAGTTACTGAATTTGACAAAAAAGCTTTGCCCTTTTTTTCAGAGAATGAAGTGTGCTGGTTGTGAGAAAAGAGTTGTTGGCTTTCTTTATGTATGCAGAATGTTTGGGAAGCTAGCTGGAAATCCTTGACTGTTGGCAGGCGATCTGCCACGGAATGAAGGAAAATTCTGCCACCTCCTTGTAACAAAATGACCAGGTACCCCAAATTGTTTTGGATCAAAGTACTTGTGATTGTCACAGAACCTGCGTTCTGCAGCTGCAGAAAAGTCAGCTGATTGGTTCACAGTATGCACAGTATGCACGGTATGATCAAATCATGCCTTTTACTGTAAATGCAAAGATTTAATCTGATGATCTGTTAAAATCTAGCACGATTTTCTTACAGACATGCTATTAGCAAATGTAATTTGGCCCAACTGCTGCAAGTCAATAGTGCTAAATTTAAAAATATTAGTATTTTTTAGTATGAAAGAAGTATAAGGATAAGTATAAGGAAGGATGACTTATTCAGGAAATCAATGTGGATGTTTGGTTGGTTAGTTCTTGTGTTGATACAAATTATTTAGAAATTGCTGAGCAATTTTAAACCAATTAAATGTTCTAATTTTTTGTTGGATGAAATCTAAATGAACTGGTTGGGAAAGAGTCAAGTTTAATTCATAAAAGTTCTCAGGAGTCTTTTGATCATGTAATCTGATGCTAGGAATCAAAGTGAGTTGTCATGAATTTGAGCCACCTACAGTGCACAAAATCCTAAATGTGAAACTTTCTCTCTCCACTATCACTGTTTGCCCATTGCACTGATGCTGATATGGGCATTATGGTTAAGGACTCCTTTTTTTCTCAAGGGTTTAAATTTCATAAGACACAAGTCAGTGTCCAGCTAACAAAAATTTAAATAATTGATAGCAAGTTTGATTTTTGTTGATTTGTAGATAAAAATTATATATTTGGGAACAGAAATCTGAATAAGTAATAAAGTATATGCATGTTGATTCGAAAGGAAAAAACTTGTGGGTTTTGAAATGCAGTGTTTGCTTTTGGAACATCTAAAGCATGATTGAGCTTTTCAAGTTTATTGTTCATGTATGCCTGATTCCGAGTTTGTTTTTCCATTTTTTGACTTATGAACATACCAAGTACAATGTACATGTTCTGTTATTTTGTTTAAGATGGCTATCCGGGGACAGAATTCAACTATATACATACGCACACTGAGCATTGAAAGGGACATGTAATACAATATTTCTTGAAATTGCACCCTTGTGATTCAGTTAACCTTATTTCAATGGGCCTTTCCCATGAAATATGCAAATAAGGCAGGTGCATGAGCATTATTACCACTGGATGACAACGTTGCTAAAATCTATGACGTGTACCAATACAAATTTCCATGTGCACACAACTATAAGTACACACAGACTGTTTCTGTACTAGAACAGTTTGACGTGAGCGCCAAACTTAACGACAAGGAATTTTACGTTCCAACCTCAGGACACTGAAAACTTCACTTAGTTTCGAGAAAAACGTGCTGAAGTATCAGACAAAGGCTATAATACAGTTCTGATTGACCTCCAACGTGCCAGGTTATGGTTTTGACAACTGCGCTTGCCAAGCAGTGGTAGAAGGCATACGCCTGTCTAATTTGCATATTTCATGGGAAATGTCCAATGTTTTGCAATAGTGATCTGCACCTTCAAGCATTTTGGGCTTTTATGAAAATGAGAATGTGCATCTTAATAAGCAAATTTTTGATGTGCACGAAAAGTGCTGGAATTTGTTGTATTTCGCCAATGTAAATTTCCACTTCTTTGGCAATTTATTGATTTTTTCAGCATACGGCAACAAGCCTGTGAGCAACCTATTCTTGGGAATGTTTTCAAAGAGCAAAGTAAAAGTGGGGGCTAACAATTTGAACATGGAAACATGCTACTTGAAAACATATAAACTGAACTGTGTCTTCCTGGATTTACATTGAAGCAAAAAGCTTGGAAAAGCGTTACCTTTTACAAAAGGGCAGCTTTCATTTCACGTAACTCCAAAAGAATTTAAAGCAGTCTTCACACTTTGAGGAAGAGTATAAATGCACAAAAAGTGAGACTAAAAAAATTAATTGCATGGATCATTTAATGTTTGCATGGACCCTTCAATATGTGCATGAACTTGTGAATATACCTCAAGCTGAATACAAAAGAATGCATTTGTTTACATTTTTGTACAATTTGTGAATACAAGTTTTTAAATTCTAATAACCCGACACATGCATGGACCTAGATGACAAATACATAAAAGACAACTAGGAAATCCACTATGACTGACAATCTGTTGATATGAGAAGGATGATCTTTGCAAAGGCACTTTAAAACCTTGATTACATTTGAATCCTCTGATTGCAAAATATCAGACATGAGGAACAAGATCCACAGAGGCATGAAGGATCAGCTTAAATTGAGAAATATTTCTGCAAATGAATGGAATGAAATTAAAATAATTAAACTTTCTTCTTTGGTGATGTACAGTGTATTTCCAATGTTCAAATGTTAAGCACCGTTTCTCAAATTCACAAAAATAGACACACTTCATGCAAACCCAACTTGCCATTATTCTGGTGTGACCTATTTACACCCAAGAACTACGAATGAAATTTCAGGCAATAGATAACACAGCAATTTACACAAATAATAAGGTTAATTCTGAAACTTCAAAATTAAGTCAACATGTCTGAGGTACAAACTCCATCAGCGACTACTGATCAACCAATGCTACAAAGAATCAAACATGCACTAACTTTTGCTTGGCAAAACCTTCAAGAAAACGTACGGAAAATAGCGAGTGCAAACTCAGATATTATTTTAAGTTCCAGGAAATGTTGGAAACTTCCAAGACTTTCCAACTTGCAGAATTTCACCTACCTTAGGCAGAAAAAATACTGATGGCTATGAGCTCAGTGAGTGTATTACGCACTTATGCACTAAATTTGTAATGATTTTCTAATATAAATAATTCCAGATAATATACACAGTCTGGTAACAAAATGCAATATACAAACAGCATGTTTATGTCATAGTGCAATGAAGTAAACAAATTACCTGTGGAAATAAAGTCTTGAAAATCAATACTGTCAATATGTTAACAATTCAAGGCACTTAAAAATGGTCCAACAACAGGGCACTCTCACTGACCCACGTGAGTGCCCTCTGCCATTGTTATATGCAAAGATCATGGTAGCAAGCATACTATTTACATGGAGCAAACCTTTGAAGCTTTATAAATGGAAAAACGTGAGAAAAATAGAAAATCAGCACCCAGTGCTGGATTAGTGCAATATTAACAACTATACACACAAGTGGTGACCACATGCCATTTGCTTAAAAATATTCACTACTACTTAATGTGAAAATACATGTAAGTCTCAACGTCTAGTTTACAATCTATGCTAAGAAACCACTTGCCTACAGCCATGGATATAGAAATAATCTTGACTCCCAATACCCTTGATCAGCCCACACTGAAGCCTGCAGCGGCCATCTTACCATGCCGAATACAAAGGTAATTACAAAGGCTCATTCGCCATTGTTGACCAAATTGTTTGTGACAACACGTTACAATGGGTAAGCGAGCCAAGGATCACCCTTGTATTTGGCACAGTTAGATGGCCGTTGTTGGTTTTAGTCGGTAACAAGAGCGCAGAGGGCCTGCATATGACGTCATGTTTGAGGACATTTCTTTCTTCCTCTAGGACAGGCTCGAGTAAAGTTTTGTGCATTCATTGTGATGAAATCTAAATAATGAAATGTCCTCAGGGAGGGCGTTCCACGCAGGCCCCCTATTGCAAATCCAGATATTTTTACATGACATCTGTGCCTACAGCATTTGTGGCTGGTCTCAGGGAAACTGTGGGGTCAAATGGTGGTTTGCCGCCTTTTGATCGGACCCTGTACAAAGAATGCTAACACAGACGAGAAATCTAGAAACCAACATCTAAATGTTGAGGGAAAAAAAAGGACATAAAAATAAAATGGAGCAAGCACTGGTTTGCACAAAATCCAGTAAAATGTGACAATAAAAAAATATAACAGCATTAATCTGGTATTACAAATTGCCAAAGACCTTGTACATGCATTTTTATAATGAGATTGTATCTCATCGGTTCTCTTGCTTGATGAAAAACAAGTTGAATGACTTAATGAAATCCAGTCAGTAATTTTAACGGCAGCATCTATGCTCATGTTACACAGTTTATAAAGGAGGCAAACTCGTACAGTGGCAAAAGTACTGTGTGCATGGTGACAGTTGGTCTGTGTATTATTTTATAAGCCAATAGAAGACGAAGGTTGTGGCCGCTACATAGTGACTGGCATAGTCCAGGTGTGACCATTTCTTCAAGGTGTGTTCCATCTCATAACCCTGCATAAACAGAAACAAGTCTCAACACCATCACCAAATACACTGGACCGCACTTTTCACACAGATCTTCAAACTTCACCACAAAATTTTCATGGAAATTGGCTCCGAGTAGGAACAAGAAACGGCATGTATTACACACACAACACAATGTCCCTTTGGTTACACTCCAACATCCCTTGTTAACTGTTTAGGAAAAATCTCGTCATATTGTGCCATTGGCTGCAGCTCTTATGATGCAAATGGCCAATGACATCCGAGACAACTAACTTAATGTGAAAGCATGGTTCCGTCAGTACTGATAATAATGTAGGCTACTGATAATAAGTTGTGCATCCAAGCCCAAAGGCCTGATTGCAAATGGTCGCATTTGACCCATCCATCATAGAAGTGGTGTTGGTCAAACTATAGTCAACTAAAACTTGTTGCTCAAATTGCCTCCAATTTATGTGAACTGTAGAAATGCTGGAAGTTTACCACTGCTACATCTGAGGCGATTGACTTCCACTCTGAGTATTCCATTTATGAACAAGACATTGCTTTTTAACCAAACAATGCATGCCTCGTATGCTCTCTGCGTGCATGGGTTGGCCCTCATACATGCACATGCATGCATAAAGCGCATGTAACTATTTCTTAGTAGTTTTGGTCATATAGGCATCAAACACAAGGTGCAAATGATGATCTGTGCTATTGGAGTTTTCAAATGAACGGAGCTACACATTGGCAGATTGCTGCTCACTGTTTAATGCAGCCCTGATACTATAGCGTAAAAGGGGCACGGCAAGTTTTGCCTTGACTTTGTAAATGTATAAAAAAGCAGGGCACCAAGGCAATTTTCAAAATAATTAAAGGGCTTTAAGGCAATAGTACAATTATTGCATAGGGCAGCAAGGCAAAATGGGACATTATTAAAATAAAGATGTAAATAAACATATTTTGACTAAAATGAAAATTATGCAGACGGTAGTCTTTTCTGTTTCCTTAATTAAAGGTTTCATTTTATTGCCGGTAATCAACAGATGTACCTGTTTTTACAGCGGCTGTGAAATGAAAAGTTGTAAATAATGAAGAAATACAGCAAAAAACTTTCAACACTAATGCTCCGTGAAAATTGCAATATTTTGACATCGTCTGGTTTCCAATGTCAACGTACTTGTTCAACACATTTCTCAGGTTGATAACAGATTGAGAAGTTTTGCGTTTGCCCGAACAAGTTAGAAAACTTTGTTTTCACTGAAATAATTTCTCCACAAGAAGAGTTTTTTGGTGAATGGATGACTGCTAGGTAAGAATTCTTTCAGAAAGTTGGAGCACGACAGTTGACACTTTAAATCTCCTTAATTCGGTGGGCTGGCAAAAGTACAGTGGTCTAAGTACAGACTCGAACCTGAGCACATCATGCGCGCTAGTTTAGTCCCAGCCATGCCATTTGTCAGCTGGTCTTGCACGGGAATGCATATTGAAAATGACACTTCGATTTCATGCAGACACCAGAGAAAGTTAGCAACCGACACGTGCTGCGCTGCGCACTGTCTCCAGCGAATCACTTACGCACGTTTTACAGCTGTGCAACGTACATGTACATAATAGGGCTACATGTGTGGATGTCCAATTGTCACTGTATATAATGTATTGACATCGCAGAACGAAAATAAGCTTTTCTAAAATACGGCGTTGCCTGCCAGCCGCCGGTCTTGTCGGGACTTGAGGATACGACGGCAGCGCTCTGGAAAGATACGGCAAATCGTTGCCGTGAAAATGAGAATTTGTGAAAGGCATCACGGCAATGGCTAAGGGCATCCACGGCAATTATGCCCTCGTGTAATGTCAGGGTTGTTAATGAATTTAACCATTCCTGGAGGTCACTCTGTGACCAATGATTTCATTCAGTACATTAGTATAGAGTGCACGTGATAGTAAGATTTTTCCCACTGTAACCAATGCTACTCGTGCACAGAGCAAGTGTCATTTGTCGACAATTATCAGAAAACTGTCTGTGCCAACGTTACTTACTTTTTCCTGGAGCTCTTCTTCAGAATTGAACATGACCCCAAGATAGGCAAGGTGGAACATGGCAAGGAGACCAAAGCACAGATTGGTCAGCATCACTAACGGATGAGTCTGGAGGAACAGAGAAGTGGTCAAGCCATGTTAAAGACCGGCGTGGATCAAGGACCAAATTTGTTTAAGGGCGGGGGATGGAAGGGCAACACATTGGGGAATTTCTTTGTGCAAGTTTATATGGGATTTCTAAGTGTGAGGAAAATTTTTTTTTTGCTGCCCATGGGACGGATGGGAAACGAAATAGTCTCATAAACTCTCCTTTCCCTTATTACATTTTCAAAAAATAAAAAAGTTTTTACCCTAAGATGTGAGGCGAGGGCCCTGTTGGCCCCCTCCCAATAAAAGTGCTAAAGATATCAAGCTGAAACCTATTTTCCTTTGTTTGGAATATCAAAAAATAGTTTTTAGGAAGTTTTCGGGCTAATGAGATTTGGATCACAACAGGGGTCAAACTTAATGGTGATCCGCTGGCCCGAGGCCAGTAGAAAAGTCGGCAGACCAGTTGATCTAATAAAGCTGGTGGTCCGGCGGGCCTGCACAAAATGTACTTGACAAATTTAATAAAGTATTGAAGAACTGAAAAACCGATCTGTGCACATATTACCCAAATTGGTAGCATGGTGGATCCAGTTATATTTTCACGCCAAGCGTGTACCTAGCTACACGAGATAAGAAAGATCAAGTTTTGCCCCGCGTGTGCACCTCAGGTTGGGCTAACCTAGGGCGTTTATAAAACGAGTGGATTAAGCTTATGACTGGTTTCACTGGTCCCAGCCGTTTTGAAAGCAGCATTCAAAACTACGTTTTAGACCTGACTGGAACCAGCAAAACACAAGTCTAAGCCTAATAACACCCCTAGTCTTGACTGCAAGAAGTTATCTGGTATATTAACATGTAGGCCCCCTAACAAGGATTGCTCAATGCGGCTGCTTGTGCAAATTTAGTGGCTGATCGAAAGTCATCGCTCGTCGTGGGCTCAACCAATTTTAAATTGGATTTGATCCTCTTGTAACCATATCAGCACCCTGGAAAGAACACAGAAAAAGTCACAGAAGACAAGGAAGACCGCGATATTTTGATTTGACCTCTGCTTACACGCGTCACAAAAATGTGGACATTTGCAGGCACAGTTTACAAAATTTTGTCCCATTCTGGTAGGCCCACCAAACTTGCAGCAGGACAAGTGAAAATTTGAAGTACCGCTCCTGCTGGCTACCAGGAAAACACGGTTAATTTCGACCCCTGCATATAGATGTATCTAGGAAGTACCGCATCCTAATGTTGTATAGTTTGACACAGAATGACCTCACTATTAAAATATACATCTCCCCAATACAGAGATGATTTAAAAAGTTGTCCGTAGCAAAAGCAAATCAGCACTTTGAAGTTTGTGTTGACAGAGGTGAGAGCCTTTGTTTTTTCCAGCTAGGGCGGGTTGGTAATTGTTTTTCATATTTCCCTTTCAAGGTCTGCACTAAGCATTCGGTTTTGAAGGAAAACCTCACTTGTCATGGTTTTATTACAAGGCAAGCATAATGTATTGCTTGATATGTGCATTGGGAGCAAAATGTACTTCCTTTGGTTGCCCCCTGAAAAAAGCCTACAAACTTAACAACTTACACTTTGGTGCAGGTGCTGGCAATCCTGTTTACACCGTCTGGCTAAAATGCAGGCATTGAATATTGACGCCAACTTCTGTCGAAAAACTGATGGCCACAAAGAATGATCCCCAAAAATGTATCAATTACCTGGATAACATCACTTCTATCAGGAACAATTTACGTACAACAGTTGCTCACTGACTTGTGAAATTTCCAAACTTCTCTAACAATCCTTGCAGTGTAACAACAGTAAATTCTCCATCAAAAAAGAGCTGAAATTGAGATTACTTCCAACACACATTACCAGTAAACAAAGTGGCTTTCATTAACCACTTCATGATGGATTTTCTTCCCTGAAAAAGCTGCTGGGGGTGGATTTTTTTACCAGCAAATTCTTCAACCTTGCAATTGCACTTTGACCCAACCAAGCAAGACGCGATAATATGTTTACCGTGGAAATAAAATGATAAACGACAGCGCACACGTCCTCCATGGCTCAATAAGGAATATCATATGTGTTTACAAGTCATCCAGCGTCATGTGGTTAAGACAAAAATTGGTTAGGAACAAAAAGTCTCAATTTACTATTCAGCACTGAAAAAATGAGCAACTTCTGGCATTCTCTGCAATACCCCATTAACAAATGTGCAATCTATACACATATAGGTAATAACGCCATTTGATACAATCAGGTCAAGGAAAAGATATCTGGAACAATTCCTGAATTCTCTGATTAAATCTAGAATGACACTTTAAAGACAAGGTACACATACTCAGAAAACTTCAAAAGCTCCATCACAAAAGTCGCCTTATCAAATGGATGAATACACTAAGCAAGCTTGTGTTTCATTTGAGCATGGTTCTCTTATTCAAGAGATTCTAATACTTGTAACCGACAGCTACCAAAAAGAACACTGATGCTTTGGAAAGTTTCTCAAAGTTGGAGGGAACAACGGGAAGTAATTTTTTTTTAAGGTATTTTTTTTAATCGACCATGACATCAGTTTTGGTCATGAGATCAGACCTGACCTTCCTCTTCCCACTGGGCGTGCATCTGAAATGAACATGTTCCCTTTAATTACATGTAGAAGACCCATTGCTACACTGTAGCAACATTCTTCAGCTTATGAACTCACCATGTTCAATGTAGGAATAGAAACCAAGAGAAAGTAGAACAGCTGCTAACTGGAAATTCAGGCCCTGGAACAGAACAATAACTCTTCATCAGACGAGCATGTTTCACTCAAGCATCTCAACCTGGCCAAAAGCTTCAATTTTAACTACTTTACGTGACTTGGTCCAGAGGCATGAACACAATAGATTCATCGGATGTTACTCACATGAAGCAAAGAGCTTGCAGCATATGTCAGAAGAACAGCAGCAAAGTTTCCAAACTTCCTGCTTGTTTTAAATACATCTACAAAAGAGATTGTGAAGAGCAATATGTGACATCGGAACTGACAAATCAACTCTGCGTAGCAAAGAAGGGTGAAAGTTAGAATAAAAGGCAGTTTTAGGAAAAGTTGGTTTTTCATTCTTCTCTGAATCTCAGGCAATGGATTTAGAGAAATCTACTCCTGTTCTTATTTGATGGCAATTGAACTCAAATTTGCTGACAGCAGATGGTAAATATCAAATTGCTCAGTTTCACCCAGGTGTAAACTTTTTATTGCAAGAACATACTTGTGCATGACCACACGCTGGAAAAGAAAACGATAAAGTGATATGCCCTCTTACGTTTTCAACATTGGGGATGATTGACCTCACATCCCCTGGGCCTCAGTGACCTCAGGGGTCAATTAACGAGACAACTGCACTGGTCAGAGTTACACGTACATTATGTCTTCAGTCTCATCCTTTAATTTTTCCTAGGCTATTCAAACACACCAGGTGCACAGTACAGCATCAAGAAACCTTTGCTCTACCTTTACATGCTTACAATTTTTCAGCCACACGTGCATGGGGAGATTCCAGTTAGTGACGACCTGGACAAGGGAACGGGGCAGCTCGATGTGCCAAGGTCTCGCAACATTCAATTCCCTGTTTGCAAACACAATTTGGATATGATGTAAATAAGACAGAATAATGTAGCCAATTTAGATAAGGATCATTTAGGACTTTAAGTTTGATTGGGTATCCATTCTGACTAGATGTAACCACCTCACCAGCAAAGAGGAGATAGTCTGGTGAGGAGTTATTTCAACTAGGCTCATGCAGGCAACCGGTGCATGGGCAGAGACGGTACACTCTAACATTAACAGGTCCTGCATGCTCAGCCTTGACAATAACCCTGAACCCGTGCATAAATGCCACGCTTCCCTATCAAAGCGATATTGCTCCTGTGTAAAAACATGCCCTTTTTTTTGTTCCTGCATAGAGCGAAAGTATCTGCATGACCATTTCATGTTGTCCCAACTTATCTCACTGTTTGCATTGGAGTCCATCACAAGTCAGTCCAGTTCAATAAAAGTCGAACACCAGCCAACAGAAGATGAAGATCAACCAAAGCTTGTTTGAATAGTTTGTGACGGTACTCAAAGCTAGACGACTTGCGATGGCATTCTTGTGATGGCCTGGCAGCCTAACTGACCTCTGCCCAATCCAAGCTGTCCACATCTTATGCTGGGAAGTGCTGGGACACTGGTACCAATATGAAACCCTTTTGTCACTAGGACACTATCTATTCATGCACTTAGTCATTCAACTTGCCAGTAACAATTATACATTGCCCTTTCTGATTCCAGTACACTCATGTGTGAACTTTTCTTACTGTTTTGAACAAGCTCCCTCAGTACCAACAACTGAAATGAACATTACAATTTCAGGGCATTCAAGTGGGCCTATTTTCTGAATAACCTGAGGAGTTAGTAATTAAATCCCTGATCTTACCAGTATTTATTTCCACCTTCCCGGGGGGCTCCAAGGCCCAATGCTAAGGATGTGGACTCAGAAACAAAGCTGACAAAGTAATGACTGAACCGAAATGACATGGCATCCTTGTATGCATCCAGCCACCTGCAGAAACAGCCAAAAAAACCCCGCGAAATTTAAGCTGTAATTTCCAGACAAGCTGCCGCTATGACCCAATCATGTCAATTCGACCGCAACACATGCCAGGTTCTTTTAAAGTGTTTGATGGGACAAGCCTTGTATAGCCAAGAAAACATTACTTCACATAGAGCTTGGCAATTTAAAGGAATAAGCAGAGTGAAAGTATCACAAATGTGTATTTGATGATCCGGAGTATGCCCAAAACACAACCTTTTTTGCTCAACCAAAAACTATTCCTTTTGTATGCTTTTGTTGCTTATCTCTTTTACAAGGAAATTGACAAACACATCCTTCTCAAGACCCCATTTTAGACAGCTATTTCCATGATGCCTTTGCAAACCTCACTCTCCCTACTTTTACAACATCTCTATTTATTTCTTCCACTTTCAAACATTTTTGCAAAATGTTTAACCCTGACAGGAACAATTCAATTGGCTGAAATATGAATGTGCGGTTGACGATGAGAAAATGTGTCTATTGGCTGACATGAACATGGCTGCCAACATATAAACTGTATTTCATTCAAACACATCCAACATAAAGCCTGTGCTAAACTCTTTTAATTCCCAGCTTCACCCCTTGGAAAATTGAACTCATTGGAAAATTTGATTAATTTTAATCAACCATCAACCATCAAACCTAAAGTCGTAAAGACCTCTCACACCCGATGGCAATACTTGACTGCTTGTATAAGGCTTGAGATACATGTATAAGCACATGCTTGTTAGAAATCCAGCCATCTTGATGAAGATCTGTAAATTTGTTAATTCTTACTTTTGATCAAACCCCAGAAATAGGACTGGCGCAACACAGGTGGAAATCAGGAGGCACACAAGTGACTGTAGAAACTTGACGAATGCTGTCAGAAGCCAGCGTAGTTCCTGTCAACAGAATACAAGAGATGCCCAAAGAAACATCACTGAAAGACCTAAATGGCTCCCTTGCGAAACACACGCCGGTGTTAAATCTTGATGTCTTTTCCCTGCTCTTGAGCGGCAACATTAAATAAACTAAAGCATACAATGTACATGCACTCAGTGGCATAACTGGGGTGTAATGAATGGGGGGAGTTGGGATGCTCATATTTTCTCACAGGGGCACTGAAAAACAATGAGCCGCGGCTTGTATGTGTCTGTAGGTACATGTAGAACCCAAGATTTTCCGTAAGGGACACGGTTGGAGAGCATCCAACAAGTAGATGATTTTGAAGTGCTCCAACAATGACTTTAACAAAAGGCTCAATGACCCCCCCCCACAGTGCAAAGGTGTCCCACTGAATTCACGGCTGGGTTTTACTGATGGACAGTATCGAGTGCTTTGGCAGATTACCTAGACACCGAGGGCTCTTAATGAAAAATACCGATCTCCTGACAATGCTTGAAGTTGAAGCTGTGTAATTAATCTTGCAAGATCCTATTGAGAGTGCATGGCACATACATGTCCATGCAAGCAAGACCTCTCAGTGGCTGGGCAGGCTCTGTGGTTTCAATACTAAATTCCTTGACATTATTGCTAGAAACCATCCTTGATACTCCGTATTCCTTCATTTTGCAGAAAAACCAATGGTAATTTCTGTCTCCATGCATTTTCAAGGGACACTAAGCTCTGTGTAAAGTGACAAAATCTCCTCGTAGATTTGAAATAATTGAGAACATGTACATGTAAGACGGTACTGGTGGCGGGGGAGGGCCAACTGGGGCCATGGCCCCAGTAAAGAAGCAGAATTTTGGCTTTGAAAAATAATGTAAAAAAAAATTTTTTTTAGACTCTCTGCTCTGAGCGGGAACAAAGAAGGATTTGAAATGAAAATGACAGTCTTTTTTGGTAGGGAACTCACTGCATAGGTCGGCAAGTTTATGCCTATTTGGCGCCGGGCATGCTGAGTATGCACATCAAATTTATGCTGGAATGGATATGGTCTTTGCATGTGTGCCAAATGCGTAAAGGAGCCTGATTGGAAAACTTCTCGCCAGCCTGTCTTTCTTTCGCCTGTGAGAGTGCACTTCAACTCAGGAAGGACTGCACTTCCCTTCCTTGCAAAGCATGTAAAAAGCCCCCAAATGAGGAGCCTTACCCCTCAGGAGGGCCATGAAAGGAACACAAGAATTTTCCAAATTTTGGGGCCTGCCAAAACACTATTTTGGCACCCTTAAAATTTGTTCTTGATCCGCTCTTGCAAGACGGTTTGACTTCAACCATTTTTCTGCCATACTGTCAATGCCCTGCTTATTAGTCAGGGCAAGATCCCAATCGATTTAAGGCAACTTTAAATACACCCAGTTTAGGCCCAACTTACAATATCTCCACCTGGGTGGAGCAGACGAAGGTAAGCGGAGAAGCTGATCCAGGGACCGAATATGACTGTCGCCAGGTTGAATGTGTAGCCTAGGTACGCCAAGAATTCCGGCACCTCCTCTACCACTCCTTGGTCAAGGTCAAATGCAAGTGAGATGACCTTCATAACCAAAATCATCTGAGATCCTAATGGGGGGAGGGGAATATTAGATTTCAAAGTCATCACACACCATGTCGTATGCATGCATGAATATTAGTTTTGTACATGTGGGTGAGAAGAAAGTTCCCATTTGCATAAAGGGAGCATGGAAATCCTCACCTCTGATTTTGTTCCATTCCACAGGATCGGCAAAAAATAACTCCCTGTTAAAGATACAATTGAAATTGTTTATTGTGCACGAACACAAAGTATTCAATTTTTACTGTCGATGTACAATACTAAAAAAAGTATACAGGTCATTACCAAGTCAACTTACAAGCAAAATGATTGCATAGGTTATACCATAATTTGTTGCACAGGTTGTTAACTAATGCATGTTACTTTTCCGAGATCTTGCTGCATGGATCACAACTTATGCGATAATTATGCCCCTTAATCATAACCCTCTGAAGTACATTGGCTAGAAATCCTGCCAGACCAAGCAAATTGCATCAATTATCCGAGTGGCTTGCCTACAGAGTGCAACAAGATCCTACATGCCAACCATCTCCAAGGCCATATGGCCTGAAAGCCTAGTGGTTGCAAGCCTCCACAGGATCCAACAGTGGCACTGTTCGGTGGAACTAGCCACATACAGCTCCTCCCATCTCAACATGGGCGGACTGCTGTTGACTGCCCTGCGGAACTTTACACCCATTGCGCTTTGCCGAGTCTGGCAGTGTTAGGGTTGAATTTGGTTGCATACATGTATGCATTTACGCTAATCAATTGTTAACAAGGAAACACACCATTATGACCAACAGGACATCACTCTACCCACCAAATTACTAGAACCATCACAAAAACCGCAGCAGAGACCGGCCCCTTGTAGTTGATGTCGGAGGCCTGGCAGGCCTGAAGAAGAAAGTAGCCCAGGAGACCCAGGGCCACGACCTGGATGATGAGACCCTCAAAGAAGTAGGACAAGGCTAGGATGCCTACCGTCAGGGACAACAGATGGTAAAATGCTGCAGGCAGACCTGTAAGTCAAAAAGGGCAAAAATACATATGTCCCTAGCAAATCCCTGTAGTAAATACCTGATGACAATCCAAATGGATCCAAAAAGTTTGTTTACTCTTTGGATTTATTCGCAGAGGCTTCGGACAATTTCACAAAATGGTGTAAAGTTATGCAATACATAAAGCTGGCAGTTTTGGAGTGGCATTTGTGGAGAATTGCAATGCCAAGGTCAATCTCATTTATGCCCAGGTAATAAAGGATGCTTTCAGCTGATTTCACTGTCCCTACAATAGGCCATATTTTGTTAACCGGGTAATAACAATTTTAACAAATGAATGTTGAATCCAAAGCCCAGTGTTTGCCTTACAAGCATTGATTCAATCTACAGATGTGTTTAAATATCAGTGGCTTGATTTGACTCGCATATGAATCTGGTTCAACTCAACCATTCACTTTGACTCCATCCAACCTTCCTGTTGTAGTGATTTGAGTCAATTTGATAAGATGAGCCACTTGAAATGACTTAGGTCATGCAAAAAATTGCAGTGACACCAGTGTTGTATTCAAATCCATCACAAGTCCCTGTAACTCCATCAAAAGTCCATCACAAGTCATTCAGTCTTGAGCCAATTCACAAGCTATTCACATAAGCTGTGACAAAAGCATGCTTTTGTCTTTGGCTTACTTATGACTAGCCTTGTGAAGGGACTTGCGACGGACTCGAATACAACACTGAGTGGCATATTACTGCACTGCTTCCTCCCCTACCTCGATTCAATCTTATGACCTAATAACTTGAGTCACTCCCTCAAAATTACTCAGGTCGAGTCACCAGTTTCAGTGACGCATTCCCACAATGACTTCTCCCATACCGACAGTCAACCAAGCAATGTGACTCGACTTGACCTTCCTATCCTGATGACTCGAGTCACTCCCTCAAAATGACTCACATTGAGTCACAAATTTCAGTGAGTCATAACCACACTGCCTCCTCCCCTACCCATCAGTGAGACTGTTCTCATCGCCATACATCCAAACACCAGCGGGGTGATGATCTGAATGCCCTGGGTCAGCGTTGGCACCACACAGTTGGCAAAGTGCTCAGCGTAAGAGAACACTTGCGCAGGGGGCTCCTCAAAGCCAAACTCCCCACCGCCGTAATAGTCCTGGTACTGCTGCATCATCTGCTCCAGGACCTCCTCCGGAATGTCCCCGTAGTCCTGCCAGGGGAAGTCTGGATCTATCATGTCTACGTCTGCGTCCATTGTGCCCAGATGTAGACTTACTCCAGCATCTGCAAAACAAAATACCGGTGAATTGCGCATGAAATTTTCAAATCATGGCAATTTCAAATCACTGCCAAACACAAGCGAATAAATATAAATGCTGGAGGTCACCCAGTTTCAAAATGTTAACAGTCCTGATTTTTCAAAATATAAGCAGGTAGCAGACATCAAATTTAATGAACGCTCAATCAATAACTCGCCCTTACTCTGATATGCTTGAAGCTCACAACACAGAAAAGGTATGGAATGAGGCTGAATTTACCTGGCAGAGGTGCTTTTGGATAGCAGTAAAGCAAATGACAGGGCCTTGTGAAACCTCTGTAAAAAATAAGATTTTTCAAGTTTGGAAACGTGCTACTAACAGAACTGCAAGCCACTACTACATGTACATGTATGTGTGATTGCAGCTTCACGACTTTTTATGGGTTCCTAACGCTATGGGTTTTTTAATGCATTCTAGTTATGTCAAATTGGGGTACAATTCTACAATTGAAAATTCCACTTTCTCAATCAAATCTTCCCCTCAAAAAACAAACTCACGTACATGTATCTCTTTAAATTCGATGACCTACATTATATTTTTAAGACCATTGACTAGTCTTGAGAAAGTAGAACTTTCGATTGCAATAATTGTACCCTAATAGAAATTTGACATACATGTAACTGGGCTGCATTCAAAAACCCAACAGCTTTACGAATAATACAATGCCGTAGGCATAGTAGCCTAGGGCAGCAAGTCACTAAATGGAGGTACATGTAGGAAAAACACACAAAGCAGTGACTAGGAGTTCTGCAAGTCTGGATTCTGCCTAAGGCCCTGGGAAGTGAATGGTAGGGCCTATGGTTTTGAGTCAACTCAGATCCAAACCAACTTGGACCCATACCAACTCAGACCCATGCCAACTCGGACCAGAAGCCAACTCGGTCCCACGCCAACTCGGACCCAAAACCGACTCGGAGCAACAACCAACTCGGACCCACAACCAACTCAGACCCATAACTAACTCGGACCCACGCCAACTCAGATCCAAGTTGAGTCAACTTGGACCCAACCTGAGGAATGTGTAGTTTCGGGATGAGTAGGCTGGTCTATCTACATGTACTACATGAAATTCCATCCCATCATTAGGGCATATTGTGTATAGCATTTTACACCGTGGCCTCAGCAGACGACTGAGCTGAGTGGACAATGTCCCAATGGACGACTTGTCTCTCCTTTTTACACACAGACAGTCAAGTTGTCTCAATGGTCGAGTTGTCTGAAGTCCAGTTTGCAAACGATCGAGTTGTCTGGACCCCCTCTACTTCAGTCAATGGATGCCGAATGAACTTGCCGCCTTTTAGTGAGTCAGTGCCATGCGTGCACGTTGGATTAAATTCCTGTACGTTGGTACATGCAGCACCATGAATAAGTTCGAATGATTGACACATCCTATAGCTTTTTCTAGAAACTCTGACATTAACCGTACCAACAAATGTCAGAAGTAATTAAAGTGCTGTCTTCTGATTCCTGAATAGGCAATGAAGTTTGATTTCCACTGGAATGTGAAAATGCTTTACTAAACTCGGACATTAGATCGACATCTAAACAGTATGGTATGGTATAAAATTCTTTTTAAGACGAAATTAAACAAACAACGGGAATGATAAGAGTTTTACATGTAAATGATTATCTAGGGTACGGCTTAAAAGAATTAGTGGGCAGAAATTGTCTTGGTTGCAAACCAGAACATCTATAGAAGCAAGACTATTTTGGGATCCATGCTAAAAGCCTCGCTGCTGGGGCTGTCAGGCTTTGCGCGTTTCATTTATTATCACAAAATTGCCAAAACAGTGTAAGGCTTGGTGGGTCCCAGTTGACTTGGGGTAGGTCTGAGTTGGCGTGGGTCCGAGTTGGTTGTGGGTCCGAGTTAGTATTGAGTCCGAGTTGGCATGGGTACAAGTTGGCTTCGGGTCCAAGTTGGCATGGGTCCAACAGGGTCTGGACAACTCGACTGTTTTCCAACTCGACTTTGGACAACTTGACCATTGAGACAACTCGACCGACTGTGCGTAAAAGGGAGAGACAAGTCGACCTTTCAGACAAGTCGTCCGTTGAGACAAGTCGTCTGTTGGGACAAGTCATCCGTTGGGACACTGTCTGCTCAGCCCAGTCGTCTACTGAGGCCACAGTTTAAAATAATATACATGTATGCCTTAATGATGGGATGTAGTCAATCTTTGCGCAATCAACCGATGTTGCACCCGCGCTGCACGCATATGGCCCGTATGCATTACAGTCGTAGCCTGAAATAAAAACCTACATGTACCTACTTCGTGTTGTCCTTCAGTTCTGCATTCCCAGAAAGGTTTTGGTTTAAAGTGAAATATAAACTTCTTCTTGAATAAAACTTGCTCTCTGAAAATTTTGGCCTGAATTCTGATTCGCACTTTGACATTTTGGAACGGTAGCGGAAAAAAATGACGAATAGTCTAGGGCGATTTTCATGTATGTCACTACTGCGAGTGATCCCAAATCCCTTTTTTCACGCTCAACAGTCATATAAACTCTTGCTTCTAATGTCTGTTTAATCAAAATGACTTCAAGGTTACATTTTATTAAAACTGGCCGAAAACTGAAGCATATTGTTTCCTAGTTTTGGATCACGCATTAAGTGCATGCACACAATATACTTTGCGAACAGAAAAGAAATGTACGTGACATAATGGGTTCGTCAGCTGTGCTGCATGAAGTAGTAATGTTGATGGCTCGCGCTGTGCAGCTGAAAATGTTGAGTCGAAATTTACACAAGATCCAATTTTTAAAAAATTCATTGGAATTCTGTTTATGTTTTCTAAAGTTTTCTAAATTGAGGAATGTTTCATTAGAAAATATATATTTATAAAGTTTGTACAATTGTTTCGGCTGAAATTGAAAATAGATTTGCTGCTCATGTGGTTACTTTCCGGAAACCGATCCAGAAGGAAAAAAGTCACCACTTTCGTCGATCCTGTTCGTCCGAATTAAAAGTTTAAAATTTGAAACTGATTTGGTGGTAACCGTGGTATCTCTATCACACAAGGTGGACGGTGCCCATGCATATTTCATTGGAATTTGAGGATTTTTGTAGAGCTGCAATCTGACTGAATAATTTCGAGATCTTAAACTGGGAAAACAACTGTATTATGTGAAGAAATTTCTGTGGTCGAGTTGTCTCAATGGTAGAGTTGTCTCAACGGTCGAGTTGTCCTTAGTCGAGTTGGAAAACGGTCGAGTTGTCTGACATCCGGTCCAAGTTGGCATGGGTCCGAGCATGGAGGTAGAATTCTACCTCCATGGTCCGAGCTGACCTGATCCCGGGCCTATCATGGTGTAGCATTAAATCAGGTCTTAAAAAACAGCAACAGTCCTGACAACTTAATACTAAGTATAATAACAGTTGGGCTAGGTACGTGTGCACATGGTACATGTATCAATTGACATTCTTCTTGAGTTGTTTAGTTAAAAAGTACTTCCGAATTCTTCATCTGGCTTGGGGCGCCCTCAATCAGGCCCTTAATTCAAGCCCGGGCCCGGTGAACGTTTTCTCTCGATTTTGGTTCGGTGATATTCTTTGGGTGTTGCATGCCACGAAGAGTGGCCCTGTAATTTACCGTGAACTACGTATTATTCCCTTTTTGACAGAAGGAGAAAAAAAAGACATAAATGAGTAAAATATATTACTTTGATATCCAACTTATTAAAGGTTTTACTTTACCCGTACCCGTGTGCGTGCTTACCGGTAGTTTCCCCTGAGTTTAAAGCTCCCGTCGAACGAGTACCCGGGCCGCGGCCCGGTGGTACAGGTATCAAGCTCGACACACGTGTCCACGTAAGCCTACCTACGGCTGTTTCCTTTCTAGTCAGGCACTTGCGAGAAGAAACATATGTTGGAAATCAACTGCTTTCCGTGGTCTCGTACCTATACTCATATGATTATAGGACGACTACAACTCTGTGATATGCATGTTTATGTACCTTAACCTCCCACCGCGCTGAGCTGAATGGACTATGAACATGGGAAGATTGATGGCTTGCGTTTTAAATCTTGCGATCAAGTGAGATTGACAGAAACAGATGGAACTTACTTGTGGCAACCTGGCGCTTTGCAAAAGCTGACGCCATCGTCAGACAGAAGGAAACAGTTTGTGTGGGTGAGTCTTTCGGTCAACGTACGTGTGATGTATCTTGACATTAGATAGGTAGGCCTGGGCGCGTACTACCGCCGCAGTTCATGTGCAGGTATCGCAGGTGCAGAAGTACGGGGTGTGGGCAAACGGAACCACGCACAGTCTGAGTGACAGTATAGCAACACGTACATGTACATGATGTAGGATCTGTGCAAAACCGGTGCTTGCCTAGGCCCACAGCCCGCAGATCTTTAGTCCAGGAATAAAAGTAGTTTGTTACCAAACTGGCCTGGGAAAGAAGCCACCAGTTATGTATTTTGTTGAAACATCACAATTTTTCAACAAGTGTCATATATCATGGAACACCAAAGAGGCAAAAACTTGGAGGCAACACATCGATCGTTCTTCAGCATCGATTGTTCTTCAGCATCGATTGATCGTTGCCCTACGTCAATCAATCGTTGCCTACATCGATCGATCGTTCCCCTTCATCGATCGATCGATCTCTTTTGATCGATGAAGAAAAAGCGATGAAAAAAGAGCGATGAAAAAAGAGCGATGAAGAAAGAGCGATGAAGTTACATCGATGCCAACGTTACATAACCTCTTCCAGCACCAAATAACGTGTGTTCCCAGTAACCATAGCCCACCAGCACACAACGCCACCTGTGTTCAGTACCCGTAAGTCTGGTCCCGAGCCAGTTGAGTTGTCAGATGAGTGTTTATATCTGGTTTCCTTGTCATGAAACCACTGTGAATATTTTCCCCTGGATGGGATGCTAGTTCATGATGGGTCGCTCCCTAGCGACTGTGGGCAAACATATTTACTCCAGGTGGATACGAACTTTATTTTCCACACTGATAACATCCTGGTGAAACCGGCAGAACCGGCTTAACCAAGGGAACTATTCTGTCATTCATTGACCTACATGTACTTATCTAGCCATGCACTTCCATAACACTGGTGAACACACTATTCCCTTCTGAATTTTAAATATCTTGATCTAATTTGTCAACTTGTTTCAATACGACCCTTTCCTATTTTCATTCCTGATCCCCTGATACCCCAAGCTAACACCGATGAGGTCGAAAATAACAAATAAAATAAGCATATTGTTCAGTGTAAAACAAAGAGAGTGTCTTATCTCTGCCGTTTCATTGATCCTAAAAGACTATCGCCCGGATGTTTAGAGAAAACAAAGGATTAATTTGTAGCATTTGGACTACAACCACCAATACAATCTCTGGACATCATCGTTTGACCGATGAGTGAGTAAGAGAGGATTAAAACTAACATACAAAGAAACTTCAGAATTTTTGTAACCTGTTATAATTACAAATGAAAAAAGAGAAAAACGTGAACATGTCAATGGTAGTCTGTAAGCATTAACTAAGATTAAGATGAACTTGTGCCAGATAATGTCGATGAGGCCTATGAGAATTTCTTAAATTGCATATGACAAAAATTTTCCACAGTGTGAGCTCCAAAGTTACAAGTATATTAATAAGTCAAAACCACCTTGGATAACGGACGGAATCTATAACTCAATCAGAGAAAAAAATCTGCTTAAAAATATCTTCAGAATCCTACAGTTCATAATAAATCTGCCAACATAAAGTTTAAAAACAAATTAACATGTGTTTAGAATGGCAAAGAAAAATTACTTTGGTGAACAATTTAATAAAGACAGACATAATGTTAAAGGTACATGCATGGGAGCTTATTAATTCGTTGCTTGGTAAAACGAACGTTAAAAAAAATCTGTCCTATTATATGCAAAATGATGCTAAAATTGATTTTTACATTGATATTGCTAACACTTTCAATGATTATTTCATTAACATTGGCAAGAAAATAGCAAATAGCTTTTTGATGCACAAGATGTGCAGGTATGAAGCGAGAGTTTCTGAGATAAATGTAGGATTTTCTTTCCGAGCCAACGTTTCTTTCCCTGACCAAGAAAAAAAAATGGAACTGGGATTTGAAATAATTTTTTCTAAAATCTGTTTCTTGAGATTTTTCAGGTGGTATTATTTCAACTATCATTTTTTTTGGTCCGAGCTAAAAATGAAATTTATTTATAATTTTTTTTGGGGGGAGTGGGTAAGGGGGAGTATGGCTCTAAGAAGATTCTGTAATGCAGCAAGGAAGTATTTCTTTTGAAAATGTGTGGCTCTGAAAAGAGAGGTTGGTGTTTGTGTTCTTGGATTTTTCAGATGGCCGGACCCTGCAGATGGCTGCAAGCAGATAGAAACCCTGATCTCAGCTCTTTCAACTTGTTCAAAACGGCGCTCAAGAGATACATTTATAACCTTGCTTATGCCTAGTTATGGCGCTAGTTTGTAAGAAATCTACATGTACATGTATTTTTTCCTGTACATCATGTACAAGTAACTACAATAAATTTTTGTAGCGCCATGGGCGCCTATTTTTCAAGTGGGTTTGTCGCCTTTATAAATGCTCACTATTATTATATTATTTGGGAAATCTTGACTTGGGGTTGTGTACATGTATACTTGTAGCAAATCATTACAGTACTGTGACTGTACAGAGGTGTCCTAATAAACAGTCTGGTATACTGGTACATGTACAGTATACATGTACATGTACATGTATGTCTCAGCTAATCCAGACACTTGTGTGTGAAAAGTCTGTTCAGGTTGTGGTCACTGGTCAGTAAACAGTCTGCCCTAACAAAATTTTATTCTAGTGTCCCAACCACAGTGCTGCAGTGTGTTTGACCCAATGTTCATATGTGCATGTACATGTGCACGAATGTTTACTGGTATAGTTGGCAAATGTCTGTAAAAATTTCTCAACCTTCTCCAAGTTTATGCAGCTCAAACTTGACAATTTTATTCCAAATATGCCACTTGGCATTCCATCCACCACACAAGTCAAAACTGTATAGTTTCTGCAAGCACCATTTATAGGGAGTGATGTTTGCGCATGTGTGCTGAAGCCTACGTTGGTACTCTGTGCTACATGTACATAATACATTGTACATAATGTGACCCACTCTGTGAAAATGAGTCTTAAGTTGCCATAGCCACTTTGAAGTAAACAGTCCTTTATAATAATTTTGCACAGTGCAAATCAATAGGAACCCACAGCATTTTTCACCATGGAGAATTCACTTTCTTCAGGATGCCAAACTGACTGATACATTAAAACAAAAAACTCATTTTTGTCTTTCCAATATAAATGAAAAACTCAAAAGGTGGCTCTGGTGACTTAAAACTCATTTTCACTGAGTGGGTCACAAATACATGTACCGGTAGTTTGGCTGGCCCTACGACAGTTGAGACTTGCCATGGGCGGGTTGTAAGAGTATCATGCAGGCTGCTGGTGGTTTTCTGTTCAGCTGTGAGGAGAATGCCACTTAGTAAAGTTGTGATAGGCCACATTTCTGAGGCTACAATGTACTGGTAGCACTAGCAGTGACCCGAATGTACAATGTACATGTACATGTATGTTCGAGTACAAGTACTTCTGAGTCATTGTTGAGTGATTAGTTGGGAAGTATCTACATGTATTTGTTTTCAACATGGCCTGGCATTCTTGGATTCAATTCACCTGTAGATCTACTCAGTCTCAACCTTGGTCTGTACAGTATGGTGTACAATGTACATGTACTTCATCCTTGCATCTTAAAGAGGGGATTAGATGAATATTGGGAGACCAAAATCGATTTGAATCCAGACCCTTCTTATTTACAATGTACATGTAGTTGAAATTGCTGCCTTTGAAAGTACTTGTACATGTACATGTACGTGTAATTAAATAATCAGTTGCAGTGGAAAAACACAGAAAAAAAGACAAGATATGCCTTTAAAAACAAAACAAGGTATAAACAAACATGCAGATTATAAGCAAATGGGGCAAAACAGCACATCGGCTTCCACTCTGCATTCCTTCAGCCAGCACCGAGATAAGAGTTGTGTTTGGGAATGAACTACCTAGTGCAGTTAGAGATTTTTGTACTTGATCACACCTACCAGTACCAGTAAAAATAAAACCAGTCTTCACTCCAGCGCAGCATTCATGACATTGCAGAATCCCAGGTCCTCCTATGACATTTCAATTGTGACAGGGCCATCGTATGAATTCCAATTCTGAAACTGATATTTATGGGTCCCTGTTACACCCAGCCTGTATAATTTGATGTGTAGGCCTATCGACTTCAAACTGTTTTTATTTTTTTGGCAGATACATATATACTTAAACTGTAGAATTACTCTTTGAAATTAAAGAATGTGTTCTAAACTTACAAAATCAAATGTTACATGTAGATGTAACCGGGACATGAAAACAGCCAGACCCCACATTTGTAGAGTGACCAAAAAATACTGACAGTATGTATGTACCGGTACGTACATGTACCAGTATGCAAAGTTTTTGCAAACATACAAGAATCTCTCTAGGTTAATCATAAATCTCTTCTCAAGTTCGAAGATTAGCATTTCATTGTTATGTCAAATACATCTTTTTCCTAGCTTTGATCTGTGCCCTGGTTAAGGATCCTGTTTTGTATTTGGGCGCTACTGTATCAATGGAAAGGACTATGGTTTCTGTGTGGCCAAACTACACGTACAGTGTATCAATCCTCTGGTTGACAGTGATTTCAATGATATCTTTTCGCAATAGAGTAAAGATACATGTACTATCCTGTGCATGGATCACTTTCTGTCAGTGCTATACATCTTGAGGGTGTCAATTGGGATAACACTTGGGGTAACAAATGGTATTCAGCTTCCATGCAGCATCATACCATTCAGCATGTTCAGCAGAAAGTATCGCACCGGGTAGAACTGTTGCAATAGGAGTGCTTGAATCCTGAATCCTCCAGTTGGAAGATTCAGGAATAGTGCAGTTAAATTCTCTTTTACCTACAGGTACTTTTTAAAAGTAATAACTTCAACTTTATTGAAGGTACATGTAGTCATGTTACTTCTAGGATGATTTCTGCTGAACCATCATTCACAATGTTTAATTAAATGCAAGAACGTTTATACATGTAGATCTCTCTCATGGGATGCTATCTTTGTAGGAGAATTACTAATTGTGCAATGCCAACAGGTTTTCATGGTTTACACTGGCGCTCGTGTTGATCCAAATATATTTGACACATGCAGCCGATTCGCATTCATGAAAATTTGAAGTCAGAAATGCTGAAAAACGCACACAGCAAATTGAAGGAATTAAGTGACATTATTTGAGAGACCTACATGTACATGTTCATGCATGACATGTACATGTATGATACAGGATGTTGTATAAATTACAGTTGCTGAGGTAGTTGGGATGAAGAAAATGTTCAGTTTTATAGATGGGAGAGTGAACTCCAGATATCATACCGTACACGCCAATATTCTAGGGAAATACCCACAGAAAATAGCTTTGGACTGAAAATCTAATCCACTTGTTGCTTGTGCATGTACATGTATGAGATTAAAATCGTGGGTCATGACTGTGAGGAAACCACCACTTACCAATTTTATGGGCAATGTATTTTAATGAATTTCTGTGATTTTCTTTTCTCGTATGCAGGTTTGCGTGCAGGTAGGAGAGGCGGCCCAAGCTTGAGTGCCTCAAAGGGGAGAAAATGGCAGCCTTTGAGGAGTTCCCCGACACCGATGTCATTCAGCCACGCAAGAGGCGAAGCATATGCATCAACCGCCCTGCCTTCACCGAGTTGGACTTCCAGGAGATTCACAAGGAGAGTGTCAAGGAGAAGAAATCAGTCAGGACACGGTTGACTAAGTATGCAACTCTGCATGACACCACCACCAACATAATTAAACAAAGTAGCATCTGAAACTTGGAAAATTTTCACGTACATGTAACATGCTTTTTTAAGTGGCAATACGGCCTCTTGAAGCCACTAATACTCTAGTTTAATGTATTTTGTTGATGTTCTGCTTTTTGCTGACATACATACTGGTATGTTAATTAGAAGGAGAAATTGGGCCCAATGAAAACATGTACATGTATGTATACTGAGCTAAAGGGACATCGTTGTATACCCGTCAGCCGTGTGCTTGTTTTTGTAGGCCTTCTCCGGCAACTCAACACAGACAGCAAAGTTGAACCCAGCTCCAACTTTCCTGACAGTCAGTAACTATGCTTGTATTAGTCACGATAGAGTGTATCCATATGATTGTGTTTTGTTAGTGACTGATCCGCGATGCTCTCTGCATCGCTTTTTGTTGATATGAAACCAGACTAAACAGATGCTCTACTTATTCACGGAAACCATACATGTAAACAGTACACACAGCAAAGGCTTGCTTACCGGTACCTCAGTGAACAAATTAGTGACGTACACGTAACAATGGAAATCTGCATACATGTACATGTATGTCCACAGTTGCATAAGTTTAGTGAAATTTTCTGGTACAGCAGAAATTGGGTCCTGTGTAATAAGTGCCAGTAATAGCAGTACTATACAGAAAACATTTTGGATACAAAAATGTGGTCTTCTTTTCCATTGTTATGTGTAGTAAGATGTACTCAAACGATGCAGAAAAGCAATGAAGTGCGCATTTAACGTCAGTTAATATAACTCTATTTGTTGTAATTATTTTCCCCGTCTATCACGCTGCGTCCAATCAACAGCTACAACCACTCGACAAATACTGAATGAATAAAATTCAATCTAATTCTAAACATAGCTGTACATCATGTACATGTACATTGTGCACACACAGAAACAATTATTGTGTTGTTACCAGTAGCTACAGCATACTTGGAACCGGTACATATTGCTGAATATTTGTTAATTGCAGCTGGGCCCAGTGTCACAAGCGGGATCAAGAAAATTCAATATCTGCTTGAAATTCATCTAGCCTTTTCCTGTATTGCATATACAGTACAGATGGTTTTTTGGGGACAGATGCAATATTTGTTTGTCAAAAGATACAATTACAGTGTGGGTGTATGTATGTACATTGCTCATGTGTACGTGCATACCAGTATATTATCAAGTTGTGGTCATTTAGACAGAATCCTAAAAAATGTAGCATGCATACAATGTAGGCATTTGGAGGGTTTGAAGGGTGAAGGAATGAAGAGGCAAATTTTCTTGCACAAAAGTTCAAGGAAACTCTAGACAGAGTACTATCTTTCAAAGCCATAATGGTCATTTTCATAATTTTTCTAAAAGATGTCAAAATTGATCTGAAACATTTTTCCCGGTGTCACATAATATGTACGCACAGTACATGTCAATATAGAGTCATGGGCCCTTTCCTCCTTGTGTTATCACAGTCTTCATTGTGTCTGGAAGTGAACCAATGAGCCTACGTGTTCATTCTCAGATGTCCACATTCACTCAACACTACAGTAGCTCATCATATTGTGCTTCATCTCTGTATCAGGAAATCATTTGTGAGTGCTCATGAGAAGTGCACACCGTGTCATGGTTGTGGTGACGTGTGAGGAAACTATATTGTTGAACCAAATTGTTGGAATGTAATTTAAACATTTTTGCCAAACATTTTTTTATTTTCTAACTCAAAAGATATGAATGGGAAGAAATATGTGATTAGTCAGTCAGTAGTTGCTGAAAATGCCCCTCTCATTTGGCTCAGGGAATTGTCAGCATCCAGTCTCCGGATCTGATCTCCAGCTAAGAACATGCTTATTCCCTTATTAATTACACATGTATCTGCCAGGTTTCTGGGACGGCACCGATGCTCAGCCAAGACTGCTAAGGCTTGCTTTTTCAAGCTCTTCCCGATTTTTGTCTGGCTACCAGCGTATGATGTGAAGCATGACCTATTGGGGGACTTTGCCGCCGGTCTGACGGTGGGGATTATGAGGCTACCTCAGGGTAGGTGTTCATGCATACCATGGGGAATAAAAACTTGAATTGATGGCTTTCTGAATCAAATCACTGTTTTGTGTGCATTGTGGGGCTGAAGTGTAATATCCATACCAACGATTCAGCAAAACCTTAACAAGGCTTTGCACTGTACAGGGTACATTCTTGTAAGCACGTCTGTACCAGGGGTATTGGAGTATGTATAAAATACGAAGATATTTGTACTATGGTACAATGTAGGCCTGCCGGTACTTGCACATGCCTTGTGTACATCCGTATGTAAAGGAACATTGGCACTATTGGTTTCACTGGTGCCACACCTTTGCTTTCATTGAATTCCACGTGTTTCAAAATCACGGCTGGAGAAAACTTGAACAGGAGCACTGTGAATGCTGCTATGGCAATTCCATGGTTAGTTTTGTTACATTTAAGCCATGTTGCAGTGAGCTCTTACATGTACATTATCCCCACATGACCCAACATTTGTATTGATTGAATCTCCTTGTTATTGGTACCATCAATAAGATACATGTACATTTTACCATGATTTTAGTACAGTGATTAACAGCCAAATTAATTAGACTTGATGCATGTATGTGAGCTTGAATTTGAAATTTAATCTTGGTTTAGTTACATGTACAGTACATGTACATTACCAAACATGGACACGGATGAAAAAAATACATGCACATGTGTCATTGCAAACAGAGTTCCTTGAAGTTGGATACTACTGAATAAAATGATATCTGTGATTACTCACCGACTTAAATGTTTTTACTTTCCTTTCTCGTTTTTTCTCATTGATAAAAAAATCTTGTTTAGTGTACTTTAAATATACATGAACATTTAAATACGTTTTATATGGTTAGTAGTACACTGTACATGTATATATACATATTATGAATGTCACAGTTGTCTATCCGTCATTGGCACAAGTGAAGATATTGAAGAAACTATTAAAACAAAAAAGCTTTCGTAGAAGAGAATATAAACATTTCTGTTTGACTTCATGACAAAACGTATTTTAAAGCAATATGTGACCCACTCTGTGAAAATGAGTCTTAAGTCACCAGAGCCACTTTTTCAGTTTTCATTTGTACTAGAAAGAGCAAATTGACTTTTTGTTTTGATGTATTACTCAGTTTGGCATCCTAAATGAAAGTGGATACTCCATGGTGAAAAATGCTGTAGGTTCCTATTGATTTACACTTTGCAAAATCATTCTGAAGGGCTCTTACTCAAAAGTGGCTCATTTTCACAGAATGGGTCACATATGTTCATATCATTGGCACATCATTCAAATGAAGTTTCATTCTTTTTCTTGTTCTGTTCAATTCGATACCAAATTTGTGGTCTTGGTGTTTTTATATCTGTGAATACTACAAACGATGTATATTTGTTAAATTTGCATAATTTTTGAAAAAAAATTCTTTTTTGGCAAAATTTCCATAGACCTGTTTCCTGCAACTGTGCATTATATTAAATACGTGTTTTTTTTTTATATTTGCCTTGTTGAGGTTGTTTAGTTTCTTCATTTGTGCATTCAAGGTATGGCTTACGGTCTCTTGGCCACCCTGGCACCAGTCTATGGCCTGTACACAGTTTTCTTCCCAGCTGTTCTCTATGCAATGATGGGCACATCGAGACATCTTTCAGTTGGTGAGTGAACATCTTACAGGTACAGGGATGTAAGATTTCCAGAAATTTCCACCTCTGGTTCATGACTCGTGAGCACGAGTGACCACATGGTTGGAATGCTTCGGCCATATTGGAACCACTAATAAATCGCACCGTAAATAATGGCGATGTATTTTCCATGTGTGTTTGTGTGAACAATCGTGTGCAAAGTTTTCAGTGACAAGTGACCGTGTTTTGATAGAAATTTTTGATCAACATGGAAGTTGACCGGAAAGTGGACATTAAGGAATTTTTCAACAAGAAAAGAAAAAGCACATAGAAAAGAACTAAATAGGCCTAGGCCTAAAGTCTACTACAGGTGTATTAGGAACAATCATCAATTCTACGATATCTTAATTATAGTACCTGTTTGATTTCATTTGAAATAGGTATCTCAAACTGTTGATTTTTTTACCTGTGGAAACCTTAATTAGCCCCCGGGGGTTGAGGGGGGTTTGTCTCCTTGACCCCCACCCAAGCATTGCCCTTGGACCCCACCAGGGGCCCTTAAGCAGGCCCCAGGGTTTGCACACCTCCTGGAAAACCTTGAAAATCCTGGAATTTTATACCCATCCTAGAAAGTCCTGGAAAATGCTAAATTTTTAAAAGAAGTCCTGGAAATTCCTGGAATCGCAGGAAATTCAATATCACTTTTAAAATGAGACAAAAATACCTAGTAAACTGCGACAGAAATTTAGCGTGATCGATCTGAATTTGAATAGTCAAATGCAATATCCATGAAAACAAAGGGAGAATTTTGTTTTGTTTTAAGTGAGAAAAATTGCACTGTAGAGGCAGAGATGAAAAGCGATAGAAATCTTAACAAGGATTCAAAAAGTAAATTATTCATTAAAAAGTTTTAAAGGACAAGAATTATTGTTCATCTCTAAATCTTGCAAAATCATGGCTGGAGATACCCCTAGACATGAGAAGCTATTATACATGTAAAATGTGTGCGTTATTGCAACTGATTTTGTATATAGATCTTTAATCAACAATTTGCTGGTCGGTACGAGTGAATATTTGGATATTTGATCGAATTGAAGGTTGAATCTTCTAATAGTGAGTTATTAGAATTGACTCAGGCCTAGAGGTACCGTAGTACATGTACACTGCAAATTCCCTTTCTTTTAGCAGTATGTATCAATTTATAAGTGGAAATAAAGATGTATGCATACCAGATGAAAACTTTAATTTAGCAGGATTGCACGACCAGAGGTCAGCTACTCCTTGGTATAGTGTTCTACTGGCTCTTATCTTTATCGCAATAACTGTAAATATCAAAAACTGATTACATTGGTCATGTGTTCTTAAACTCTGTATTGATTTTAGTTTTACCACAGTGGAATCTCTTTTACATTTTCTAACAAATGTCATTTGCATATACATGCGTAAGTATTATAGAAATTGCTCCCAGTTTCAGGCCATTATTTAGATTTGTGAATCTTTGTATGGTACATGTACCTATAACTCTATGGTTTGTGGTAAAACAGTGATCAGGGAATCATGATTCATTATTTTTCAATGCATACAGTAAGTGCATGAATATCACTTTTATATGTACATATATCTTTGTTCCGTAGATGCCCACATGTACAAGTACATGTACATGGATGTACATGGATGTACAGCATGTATGCATGTACATGTACATGTTCACTTGTTTGTAAACCCTTTTTTGCAAGGGTTTCATGACAAAATGATAATGGTTACTATTTTTAGCAATTCATTTACAAATTAATTTGTACCAGTAGAAAAAAAAATGGATATATAAAGGATACATGTTGCTATTACATGTAGTTTGTGTCCAGCAGGTCCATGCTTTTTATTGAAATACATGTACATGTACTGTATGCACATGTGTGTATGTATTAAGCTCTGCTCACATGTACATGTACATGTACATCCGACAGCGTTAAGGCTTTGGGAAAAAGACTGTACAGTCTTTTTGAACCACTTTCTACATGAAAAAAAAACATGAAACAGCTAATAGTTTAAAATTAAAATCAAAATGGAACAAAATTACGTGTAAAATGTAAGACTAAACTAAGGATAAGAATATCTGTGCATTAATCAAAAAATAAAACAGTAAAGTGAACATGATATAAACCCCTTTCAGTTCTACTGGTCATGCTGGTAGGAGGATCAAATACTGTAAGAATTTGAATGGACAGTCACATGCATTTTTAAAATGACTGCAGCTCACTGTAAAGCTAAAAGTAAAAGTCATATTAGAAATGAAATTGCTCAATAAAAGCAAATGAAATTAAGAAGTCGAAAATTCAAGACAGAAGTTTTGAAACACATTCAGAAATGTTTATGGAGATTATTCTGCTCATTTGCTTTAGGAATGAAATGAATGATATAGGAATACCTGAAACAATTGGGACAGGCAAAAGGAATGTAAAATTTTTGGCTGTTTTTATTTTGTTGAGGCTAGATAAAATTCTTTGAGGATATTTTAATGTTGAGGAAGCCCTTTATAAGTTTAAACACATCAGTTAACCCCATGAAAGAATTTGTTTATAGTTTGAAGATCAGTCTAGCGTTTAGATAAATCCGAGGAGACACCGTTCTTAAGGGGTCATTGCACTCGCGCACATGTACACACACGCATGCGTATTGTGGCAAGTCATATTGGTCAGAGGAATGTAATGCATGCATACCACCTGCATGCAAACAGGATGGCCCCAAGTAATGGCTTCCATTTCTGGTCAAGGGATTTGTCTATGTTGTCCAATTAATTGTCAAAGCTTACTTGCCAGTATCTGCAGATCAGTCAGACACTTTGATTTTTGTACACATTCTACAGCATAAGAGTGCTTTAGTCTGTATGGGCACCAGGCTAAACATCCGTAATCTTGTCGAGATCAGATAAGAGAAAATGTAAAATTTCTTCAAAATGTGCATGTACACGTGCATGTACATGCACTTGTACTGCATTCACATGTATGTGTTGTTTTCAGGATGTACATGTACATGAACAATACATGTACATGAACAATACATGTACATTTATGTACCATACGTGTACCATAATCACGATAATGTGGTATTGACATTGTCATAAATTGTCTTCTGTACTGTTCAATTGAACATCTGTCTTGTCTTTCAGAGTCAATTTGTCCACTTCTGTACACCTGTTTGTACATATAAGCCTTATTTTGGAGGGCTTTACTGACAAAATTATGAGAATTATTTTTTTTGCAACGACATGTAATTAAAAATAATGTGTATCCGTAGATGACAAAGATACCAGGATATCTACGGGTATGGTGTAGGACAGACAAGCAGCATATATACGCATGTACACGTACATATGAATGTGTACCTGTACATGTGCAGGACTTTGCAATTGAAAGTTGACTTAGGAATAGAAAATTGTTTTGTATTTGTTCTCTTCCCATGGAATTCATTTTCATTTCACAAAATGTAAAAGCAGTTTCTCAAAGTGGGAAAATATTTTCATACGTGTATTTGCAGATGTGGGCAAACATTTTTATCCCTTTTCACTCTTGTAGGAAACAATTTCCAGTCTTTTCACACAATTAAGGGGAAAAGATATTTTAACACCATTTTGCATGAGTCAGAGAACATTTTCATACCTTTTCACACAAATGGAAAAAAGCCTTGTGAAATGTGAATTCTTGTGAATGTGAATTGTTTTCACAAAATGTCTGATTCTCATTCACATCGTAAACTTTCAATTGCAGTGTATTGCATGTGTTTTGAGAATATTTGTGCAGGATTTTCAGGTGTACATGTATTTAGACATACACGTAAAAGGTCATCTGTTTGTATGGATATTCAGTTGTTTTGACCATGTGTCTTGTCTTTCAGCCACATTGTCAACACATACACTGTACATGTGTTGGTACCAGGGATTTGGTTGATTTGTGAAATTCCTGAAATGTGAAAGCAAAAATTACATGTGTATTGTGCACACAAACTCTATAAAGTTTATGCACTGGAATCACCATGCTCGCTTAAAAATTCTCATTTCAAGAAAGAAGATCCCATACATAATGCACAAGTATGCATACAGAACTGATGCTTACACGTAGGTCCACTGAAGCATTTTGGATCCATGATAGTTGTTATACCATATAAATCAGGCAGTTTATTTATAAAAGGGCAGAATGAATCAGAATCATAGTAAATGAGTAAACAAATTCAGACACCTGCTGCCTGTCTGAAATTCATATACAAAGTGATTAAGAAATGTGCATTAGTTTCCAGCAGAATTTTAAAAGTACATTGCTAGAATTATACATGTACATGAAAATATACTGGTACCGGTACACTTTCCTGAATTGGAAAAATAACACGGATGCCTTTGGGTATGTACACGGACATACATTGTACATGTATGTGCACATGCATTAATTTGTTAATACATTACATAATGTATTAACAAATATGCTTTTCCTTATACATACGTGTAGATTGTGCATAGTTAATGCATTTAATAGAGTGGTAGTTACATGTATGTTGTTTAGTATTTGCCAAGAGTCATGTTCAATTTTACTGCAACACGTATTCACAGTATGAACAAGCTCAAGGACATGGATGCTTATTAACAAATGTACTACTAAGGTAAAATAAAGTACTGATTCCAAACTATCAAAGTTTTGTAAAAGGAGTTAAGTTTTCAGAACTAATGCACTCATAAGTATGGGCACTTAACCAAGAGCTTTCTCCTTAACATCTCAATTTCAACAAAGCTGTTCTGATCTAACATCTAACAGGCATGAATGTTTTTCTCTCTGCCTTGAGTCTGTAGGCGTACCGTAAGTTGTTTAGAGTGTTCATTGAAATTACACTAGAGTAAAACATTGCAAACATATGTGTATGGAACATGGCTAGAAACTGAAATTTATTGGCTAGTTTTACCCATACCCAGGCCTCGACCTCAACTTTTTGGCCAAAAGTGCCTTTAGAAATCTTAGGGCATTGCAGCCAAGTCAATGGGCATCAAGGCCAATTCAGACTTTTGGACATAAAAGATAGGATCCCTGATTAATTTCGTGTACATTATAACATGTGCACCATGTGAGAGTAGTTGAACACAAATTTATGCGTAGGTGTACAGCTACAAGTTATATTTCCACTTCCTTCCCGAGCTTTTAAAAAAAAAAACAATGAAAAACAAAAGTTTCAAAAGGTTCAACTCTTTGCATGAATAATTTGTTATAGGGCCTGTATTTTTTTAGAGTGTTGATAATGATTAGAAAGTTACGTAGGCTGTTATGTTTTACTTCTTAAGAATTACATGTATCTAGTATGCGAAGACTGCTATGCCTATACATGTACATTGTACACCGACCACTGTGTGCATACACAGAGCATGATGAGGGAACACCTCACTCCCCTGGATTGACTTCAAAATAACTACACTACAGAAAAACAAAATACAAACAAGATCACAAGATAAGCTTTTGTGGCTTGACTTGCACTAAATGAACTCCGATTTTTGTGTTATTTATTCTTGAACTTGAATTTTTGTTGAGGCAACTTTGCATTAATTCAATGCTTGAAGTTGCATTTATTTTTTCGTACATATGTGTGTCATCATCCATAAAGCAGGGAGCTGTAGTCTCAGCCACCTACATGTTCCCATCTGTATGTTCATTACATACATACATGTAATGTACTGCACAAATAAACAAACAAACAGATAGTCTGGTTTTCAGTACCGCTAATCCGTACCTTTCTACCATGGTTTTGCTGTGGTGGGGTAAGAGACCAGACCAGTGCTTTCTGATACTACGGATCAAAAGTTTATAGCAGCAACAATAATGGCTACATAAGACACGTTCGGTAGATTTTACTCTACTTGAGTAAAATCTACCTTGAAGGGCTGTGCGGCCAACTTGGCCATGGAATGAGGTTGTTTTCAGAGGCTTTGCAGCCATTACATTGGGTCATCCCAGCAATGGCCGCTTGTGGCCTGTGTATTGGTTTGGTACCCCCATGGATAACATTGAGGAATTGTATGGCAAAGGCAAGATACAGAAATTTATTAAATGAATCAAATATCACCGCACTGCACGTACATGTACATCTTCATCTTTATGTAAACTAAAACAAATTTTCAAAATTCCAATCCATTTGTTATCTACTGTGAAGAATCACTGATGATCATTTTTTTGTATTTGGAGCCATCGGATCCGTCGCACCTTGACTTTGGGAAACAAAAGGGAAAATCCCAAACAAGCCCACCCTCACATTCTTAGAGTACTTGAATTTCAGAATTGTAATGTTTCAAAACCTGCTCAATTCTTGAGTTGAGAATGGTCAAGGTATGTGTACACATCATGGGTACAGGTAAGGATTTATTTAGGGATTTTCCCCATTTTTGGCCCCATTGTTAAGGTATTCTGGGGCAGATCTGTGCATACATCTTGAATAAACAAACATATTGCTGGTAAACATTAGGCTTGGCAGTCAATGGATATATGCTGCAAATAAACAAGAAAATCTGAGAAGGCTTCCTGTTGATACTGATCAATGACACCTTGACTTTGATCCTATAAAGTTGTGATAGAGAGGAATCAATAAGGGAGCAACAGTCTATGTAAACACTTCACTGCATGTACACATACAGAGTACATACCATGGTATTTGAAAAGAAGCATGATTAAACTGATTTGTCAACAAATGCCCAACTTAAAGGATAATGGTCTGCACACAATGTGGTGCCAACAGCCTGTGGACAAACATTAAACACTACCTGGTACATTCCCAGGCTGGTCCCTCTATGGGCGAGGGGGATGTTAATTGGCTAACCAAATTCCGGGGACTTCAAGTGTCCCCAGAGTACGTAATATATGAATGTTGTCCCAAATTTACTGAATGTACATGTACATTCATGTACATGTTATTCCTCCGTGGTTTCCCTAACCAGTCTTTAAGGTACAGATATCCCGGTACTTGTTTGTGCATTTTCCCTACACCTTCAGTTGTTACATCTTATAACTACTGACTGAATTGCTATAAAACTGGTATTACGTTGACTGTAATGATGTCTTCAGTGATGCATGAATGCATGTACTGTACGTAACAGTGTATTTCTTCATGCCAACTTGCTCCTCTATAGGCAGCTTTGCTGTGGTGAGCATCATGACAGCAGCTGCGGTGGATACAGTAGTGGAGGATACTAGGCCTACAGATGGCCCGTATGATGAGGGTCTGGAGAGGGCGAGGATTGCATCTTCTCTGGCATTCCTAGTCGGTATATTACAGGTAATAAAGGGCTACTTTGTCTCTTTGACCACGAGCACGAGTCCCACGTGGATCTGTGACAGATTATTGTTGATGAACCCTAACATCGCAAACTTTTGATTTCTTTGCCTCTAGTACCTTGTCAGGGCAATGTTTTTACCTCAGATTTTCATGATAATTGAAATTTCATCAAGCTTTCAACATTCCTGTTCATAAATCTTGAGTTTATGCACATGTACCCACGACAAAGTTCCAATAAAAATTCTCTTTTGAATTGATCTGCTCTTTTTTTCAAAGTGTACGATGAACTCTTTAAAATGCTCAAAAAATAAGACAATGAAATAGTTTTCTTACAACCTCGGAGTTGATTATGTGAGGGGAGGTACAAGAATACTGATTTGTCCAAATTTATTCATATGTACATGTACTCAAAAAATTCTTGGATGTTAACATGGTGAATGTGGTATTTTGTGAGATCTATCTGAGTGCACCACATTAGGTAACACTCAGCTGAAGTTGTGTGCAATTTCTGGACACCTCTGTTTTTTTTATTTCGGATGAGAGTTTATGTCACTGAAATTGTTCACAAAGCAAGTATTGCAAAGGCAGTAGTACCAGCATTTTACGGAAATGAATTTGAAGCCTTTCAACAAGGGGTTTGTCAAAATTGCGTAAGGAAAATAGACAGAAAACATTGAAATATGCCATGTCACAGGACTTGATCCATTGTACAAGGCAAATATTGTCAAAGTGATAAACACTGACTGGAGAACGAGCTTTGAATGAGAAGAAATGAGAAATATTAATTGCAGTGCCTTAACAGCTATTCTGTAATTGATTTTTTAATTTTTACTGCCTTTATACCATCCAATATTGCATGTTTGAAATTGCTCACCGTGTATATCAAATATTGACATAGTAATCTACATGTACTGGTGTATGTACCATAGGAAATGACTAGTAAGATGGTTCCAGCCAAAGGGTTATAGAGTATCGAAGTGTGACGTCACTGTGAACCAGAAAGTGCAGTGCAAACGAATGGAGTACGCGCGTGTTGGTTCACGTGCTGGTTCACATGCTCATGCCTTTTACACATTAATTGTGCATGAGACGTATTCACTTCGGTACTCTATTTGGGTATTATTTGGCTACCCTGCTATATGCAAATTGCCTCCATGTTCTGACTTCAAAAATTCAGTTTCATACAGTATGGATATTTGTATTGCATGTGTTTTATAAGCAATCTAAGTCAATTTTACAAGTACATGTAATGTATGCAACTGATACAGGGACTTTCTTTTCTTTTGCACACAAAGGAAGGCCTGTTTATACTTTGCATGAAAGCAAATGCTAATTTGTGACATCAAATCAAATATTCGCATCGCAAATTTGTAAAGGTTGAACACATTGCGACTCGAGCAAAATTTTGCCACAAATTTGTCATGACGTCGAATTTACTTCACTTTAGCATTTGCCTGAAGTGGGAACTGGCCTTTACACTGTATGGAGAAGTTTCTTAGTGTTAATTCAAGTAGTGCTTGATAAGCTGTCATTCATGCTGAGAAGGAAATTTTTTATATATATACAGGGTTGGAGTTACTGTCAATGTCTTTATTGTTCACCTTGTCCATGTAGCTTGGCCTTGGAGTTCTCAGGTTAGGTTTTGTCAGTACCTACTTGGCAGAGCCTTTGGTCCGTGGCTTCACAACTGGTGCTGCCTTCCATGTCTTCAACAGCCAGTTCAAGTATTTATTTGGTATAGAAGTCAGGAGATTCAATGGACCTTTTTCAATTTACAAGGTAAAGATTGTAGTTGCATTCCTGTTAGTATATCCACCTTGAGAAGAAGCACCCTCTCATTAGTTGAAAAGAGCCATATTGGTCGGGAGTGTTCATTTTGTTGGTAGCGATGTGACCATAATACGTGCATTTCATAGTTCATCAACCAGCGAAATTCAGTTCTGACTAAAGGAGCCTCCATAAAGAAAATTGCGTCCTCTCTTAGTTCAGCTCAAGGCTTGTAGAGGGTTCCCACATACACGTACCAGTCTGTAAGTTCATGCATGCTTCAGCCCGCTGCTTGGGGTGACCTCTGTTTCTTTCATTAACAGGCACAATTTGACCTTTGGTAGGCACAATGATTCCCAAACTGAAGTGGGTTTTGCATCACAAAATATTTGCAGTGAAATTCACTTGAGTTGGAATGTGTTCCAGTTTGTGAATTTGTAGAGTGGGTATTTGCTCTTAAGTTGTGTTCACATTGTGGTTATGCTCCAAGTTTGAACCAGCCTTGATGCATGTACCAAATGGAAACCTCCCTCACCAGAAAAAAACAACCTCCCCCCACCCCAAAAAACCCACAAAACAAAAAGTGCTAAAATGTAAATGCTTGCATATACTGTTAATTTTTGTATTTTTGTCCCTTTCTTTTCCTTCCCTGCAGACTTTCTATCACTTGTTTGTTAATCTGGCATCAACCAATGTAGCTGAGCTCATTATATCTCTCATCAATCTGATTGCCCTGGTGACGGTTAAGGAACTTCAAGATAAATACAAAGACAAGATCAAGTACCCTATTCCACTGGAACTATTAGCGGTGCGTTCATTCAGTTGTTCTCGTCTACTTATTTCCAGCTACTGCCGGTACATTTCGTTGGATGCCCGGCAGAAGGGCGTAAGCGCACTTACGCCCTTTTGCTGGGAAGCATGATCACAGCAGAAAAAATGTTCCTGGCAAAAGGGCGTAAGAAACACACTCTCTTTATTTAGTAAAAACGGATATAATTTCTACTAAATCAACCTGGGCTGTACAAAAAGCAACCTTTGAACAACTTATTAAAGGACTTCGGGTTTTTTTTGTTTACTTTTTGTTTACTTTTGCCAAGAAATCTTCATATTTCATTAAATACAGTAGTTGCATAGTTTTGTCCTTTTGCTGGGAAAAGCAGTGATCATGCTTCCCAACAAAAGGGCCTAAGCATTTACGCCCTTCTGCCGGGCACACAATGATTGAATGTCGGCCTGCAAGTTCATGATTTTTTTGTCTGTAAAACTAATTAATCAACGAATTATTCATCTTTGTGATTCTGGGTTTGATGTCTATCAAACAGCACATAATTCTTTTTATGCTAAAGTCATGTGCAATTTGTCTCCTGGACCAGAGTTATGATGTTTACATGTATATCAGTAATAATCAAGTTCATTTGTATTGTTTGGGGATTTGACTAGGAAAGAATTGCTGTTGTAAATGTCCTGTTACAGATCATTCTGACTACCATGGTTTCTCATTTTACATCACTGAAGATGAAATATGGTGTTAATGTCGTTGGAGATATTCCTACTGGGTAAGGAATTTTTCATGTATATGTTTTTTTCCCATGCCTGTGGCATCTTGTATGCTAATTTTGTGATTAGTGCACATTTCCATGCTTTCATGTACTTGTGTTTTCATGTGGTTTGGTCAGCTTGAATAGACTGTGAAACCAGAGTTGAACAAACGGGAACATTCCACAACCACAAATTCCACAGGTGTTTTCCTTTGTAGGGAGTGTCAAATTTGACCATTGTGGAATTTTGCCAAATTTTAATACCGGTAGACTGCATCAAAACCAAAATTCATAGGCCAAGATTGGAGGGTCATCATTGAAAGGCGCAGATTTGTGCACATTCTCAAAGTGCATCGTATTTCTTGAAGTAAATCTTCATCAGATGTTGTTTTTAAGCACTGGTCTTAAGAGCTTCAGCACTTTGTTGCTTTAACCCCCCCCCTCGTGCTCGCATGACAAATGGTCCTTGTACTTTAAAGTAAAGAACTTAAAACTTCATGGGATTGATACTGGCCCAAAGGAAATCTGTACTTCATGTATATGTATATTATACGTTTTTGTACATGTAAATACTACTTTAAGTTTGGTATGAGCAGTAACTACGCTACCCATCTTTCCTGGAATTTTCAAAGTTTTAATAGGGTTCAGTGCAACCTTTTCAAAGTTACAGTACTGTTCCCAAACAGTAGTGTTTTAGTTATGATCTGTTTTGGTTTTTTGTTTACCAGATTGCCAGTGCCGGAACTGCCAACGTTTTCCTACATGAATTCCATGATCACAGACGCTATCATCATAGCCATTGTTACATTTTCCGTATCCGTATCGATGGGCTACATCTTTGCAAAGAGGAACAACTATGAAATTGATGCAAATCAGGTCTGTTTGTTTTGGGTGCTTTTTTGTTCTTGCTCGGGGGTGTTATAACAAAGGAACAGTGTGTGGTTTTCATGCTTGTTGAAAATTTACTGCATTTGGCAAGTTGGCATCTAATAATTCAGGAACAGCATGAGCAAACTCAACTGCTTATGAAGTAAAGGAAATAACATTTTGGTTAAAATAACAGGGCACGTGGTTTTGCTTGTCTTCATCCCATGTTTTGCATTGAGTGAGGAATCAGAGCATATAACTTCACTAACGTGCACAAGAGCAAGGAATCAAGTGCTCCACAGGAGGCTTTATGCAACAGATAATGGTAGAGCAGCCACATGTCCTGACTACAAGAGAAATATGAATTGCACTGTTCATTGGGCAGGTCCACATGAGCCCACCTGTTTCTGTTTTGGGGAATGAGTACATTCCAGGGCTGACAGGCTTTCCTGAGCAACTAGCTGAAGGGAGGTACACATTTGCGTACATATTGGTCGGTTTTTGGTCCGTCCATATTTTATAGATTTTGACAGGACAGGTACAAAACCTAGTCTAGAGTACTTGCCTTGTATGCTTGTGTATAGGTGCTGTTATCATTTTCAATTTTAGAAGAAGCATTTTAACACTGGTCTGTATTTCTGGCAAAGTCAAATATGATGCAGATTTGATGTAAAGAAACATTCATTTTACAATTATCAGTTTGAATACCCTCTGTATGTCACATGGCGGGTCAGGTGTCAAAAGTTTTACTATAAGTGGGTATAGAGTGTACTAGCTTCAGCCGTACATGTATCTCAGGCATACATGTTTTCAGTGCTGTTGCCAGAGGACAGCTACCATCATTCTAACAACGACATTGCCTGCTTCTGGTTTGTTTTTTTTTGCCCGCTTTGCCTCCATCGGATTAGGAGCTGATCGCCTTGGGGTCCATGAGTGTCTTTGGCTGCGTCTTCGCGTGCTACCCTGCTGCCTCCTCCCTCTCCCGTTCCCTACTCCAAGAAATCTCGGGCGGGAAGACCCAAGTACGTTGTTGTTATTTCCTACCAGGGTCCAAGACACTAGCCTTGAACGAGAGTCCCGTCCTTGGAATAGTAACACCATTTCGTCTGCATGAAGAAAAAAAAACCCAAAAAACTAACATGTACTATGTACCAGTGTATGCATGTACACACAGTAATGGATCTGGATGGGATGGGTTGCATCCTTCCAACCCCCCCTCCCCCGTCCAAGCAAATACCGGTATGGCTACCAAGCATATGGCTACCAAGATATCCAACAGCAAGTGCCACAGGGCACCTTGAACATGTTGAACAAAATAGCAAGGCCTTTTGTTACTTGAGAATATCTTCATTGTATGGCATATAATTTACTCCGTTTGAGTGCTGTGCTAATGCACATGTTCATGTATTCTAATGCTAAAAAACACAGTGTCAAGTTATTTTTATACAGTGTCAAGTTATTTTAAAGTTTCAGTATAAAACCCCAGAACAATTCCTCCGAACTTACCTGTCCAATCTTCACCAGAATTTTTTTCATATGGGCACAAGATGTCTTTGTGGCAGCCAGGGAGTGCTGTAAAAAATATGTTCCCTTGAAGCTGCCTTTTTTTCCCCAGCCTTCTGGTACCTGCACATTTTCCACAGTGTTAATTAATAATCCCAGAATGAATAATTAAGTGCACATGTACAGGTAACTGATAACATAAAGATGTTTCACAAAATTGAAGTAGTTTTGAGAGTGGAGGCAATTAAGAAAATACAGACACACAGAAGGTATGCTGGTTTGCTCTTAACAAATGCGTAAAATGGAGGTGAGATAGATGTTCCTATGTTCAATCATATTTTGAATGAGCCCGCACACTTAGCTCATTGGAACTGCTGATTAACATGTAGGATTGTTGTATTTGTTATTCCAATTTATGCTCCTTTCCTCTTGTCCTGTAAGTTTGAATTTTTTTTTTACACTTTTCTTCTGCAGCTGGCAAGCTTGTTCTCCTGCCTATTCATTCTTTTTGTTCTGCTATTTATGGGACCTCTATTTTACTCATTGCCAAAGGTAACAGCTCTTTTTTTACGTTAATCAGAAACATTACTACTGAAACGCCCAGCATTGGCAATTTGTGTTTGCGTGCCTGTTGCCATCATCTCCTCAGTTGGATATAACGATACTCATTTATGTTTGCTTTCACATCTGTTTTATTTTGTAACTGTTGAAAGCATGGCACATTTTGTTTGCTAGCTCTTATTGATGCATAAACAGTGACACATGTTTTATTGCCTGTTCTCTGTTGTTTGGAAAAAGTAACCTTTGTGAAATACAACCGTTGAACAGCTGTTATGGATTTTACTGTTTAGTCTACCCATCACCAGACTGTTGTAATTAACACTTCATGCTGTTTGCACAAAATACAGTTGTGTATAACTCTCCATAAGCCACATGCAGTAATCCAATACACCTTGTGACTTGTACGTGTACAAGTCACATGCATAATTGTAACTTTTCTTTTATGAGTATCAAAATGATAAAGCGGAGCTTAACCACTTCCTGCCGGGGCAGTTATCAATGTTGATGATGCTGGGGCAGGATATTTATCATTTTGTCTGTTTTCAAAATTCTTGAAAAATTCCTATCTTCATTTACTGGAGACTTACAAACACGTGAAGGACTGCCTGGTGTCCACTCTAGCCTGACACACAAAATCTATTGGCGCCTGAGTATTTCAGCCAGGCCTGCAGCCTTGTAAAAAGAACTCAGATTGTGCGGTGTTGTATAATTTTCTTTTGTTCACGAACCTAGCTCAGTGCACTGCTGACCTCTTTTGAATATGGACCAGATTAGCATGCAGCAGTGCTGTGTGGCTCATCGCTGCAGTGGTGGAGTGCTTTTGTCCCCGTGGTAATCCGCTTGCTCTAAATGCCCCAAACTGTGGTATACTGTTTCAAACAAGGCTGGAGCATCTCCACTTTTGAGAGTGAAAAAATGTCGTTAATTCCCAGCAGCCTGGTCTTTTGTTCGAGTACGGTCTTTTGTTACAAGGCCCTGTTCCCTTTGTCCGAGTTCGGAGACCCCGGCCACGCATATAAAGCATAAGTGTCCAGATCCGGAATCCCTGGCAGGAAGTGGTTAAGTGCAATTTTTAAAGAGTTTGCTGTCACTCAACATGTTAAAGTACATTAAGAAGTCAGTGATACTGTTACTTATTGAGACTGATGTTGTCAGGTCCAACTCTTGTCCTTTCACAAGTCCAGCCAAAAGTAACAGAGTGACCAATGAGAAAGGAATGCTTTTGTCACTGTTAATTTGAATAGTCTGAGACTTGGCTCGAGACCAGACAACATGTGATGGACTTACAGGGACTTGTGATGGACTCAACTTCAGCACTGGTTATTGGAATCATTTGTTGGTTGACTGTTTAATTACACAAACAGTTCGTAGTTTATACACTTTTCTCTTGCAGAGCTGCTTAGCGGCGATTGTCGTGGTTGCCTTGCGGGGCATGTTTCGTCAGTTTAGAGATATCAAAGTGCTTTGGAAGTACTCAAAAATAGACTGCGTAAGTATGCAAGGAAATAAATAGATAGTGACAGAAAATTTTTACAGGAAACACATAACCTGGGCTTTCCTGAAAAACAACCAACACACAAATCAAGAGCAAAGAAAAACATGGTTCATATAGCCGAAGATGCCCTTAAACCCCCTGAAATGAAATGAAAACTACCCCTCTAAGCACAGTTTTGTTCCCAAAATCTTTGAGTACCATTACATGGGTGTAGAAATGATCACAACACCACATGGCTACTATAATTACATGTAGTTTGGATATTAGGTTGCATTCTCCTAAATTCTATTTGCAGGGTTAGCAGTTCCCTGTGTACTTGGGTTGCCTCAATTCAGTGTAATAACTATTTGTAAGAAACCCACCATTTAAAGTTCATTTTCTGTCCCTTTTGACCCCTCATCAAATGGCTGCTTTCTAATCGTTAAGTTAAAAATTTGACAGTTTAGTATTAAAATTTACTTAAAAGAGTGACCAGTCTGGTGAGGCCAGTCTTAAAATGCACACTCTCTCCAAGCCATTTTCTGTCTTTTTTTCCACACTATACTTCCCAATATACCGTACATATAAAATTATATGCACCATGGCCATAGATACTAGTATCTACATGTAATGAAAAACATTTACAGTTGCTTTAAAATTCCAATCTTTGGAGTTGCAGACTAAGCTGTTTTGCATTTTGCTGGTGAAACACTGAGTAATGCTATAAGCAGGTTAAATTCGTGAGCATTCGCAAGATGCCATGGCATTTTGTTCTGTTTTTTTTTAGATGATATGGGTAGTGACATGGTTTTCTACCATGTCACTAGGTGTGGACTATGGTCTTGGGGTGGGTGTTGTCTTTGCCATCATGACAGTCATCATCAGGACACAGAAGCCGTACTGCTGCCTGATGGGAAGGATTCCAGGCACAGATATATACCGAGACTTGTCATACTACCAGAGTGTGAGTTGAATTTCTGTTATTAGAAAGAGAAATAACAGATTTACTTTTTTCCCACTTTATGTGACTTATCTAACCATGGGCTTCACAGGGTAAAGGGGGGGGGAGAGAAAGAAAGAAATGAAAGACTTGCTCAAAAAGTCTTCTATTATTATTAGTTTTTCTGGGGTTTTTTGGTCTTCTTCCCCTCCCCCCACAAAAAATTTTCTAGACACCAGTGCATCTAATACCTTGATGGATTAAATAAGCATCTATTTGTGTTAATATTAATAATTGTAATTGTTTTGAGGCAAATGGTGACTTACAGGAAGTATGGAAATATCTCATTTGTTTTCCCATACTTTTGTCTGTACCAAACTTCTTGAAACCTTATTGCTTCCTGCTGTGTTCTTGCATGCCTGAGACAACTTGCATATTGGAAAAGGAACAATGGTCCAATCTGTACATGTGCACTTGAAATATAGTGGCTTATTTGTAAACGTAATTGGTGACACATTTGAAATGGACAGGCCAAACAGATACCAGGGGTGAAAATCTTCCGCATGCACAGCCCCCTGTACTACGCTAATGCTGACTATGTCAAGGCCTGCTTGTACAACAAGTCGGAGCTGAATCCTGTCAAGATACTCATGGAGCGGGCCAAGGCTGAGGCCAAGAAGAAGAAGGCTGAAGCACGGTCAGAGAAGGCAGAGGTCAGACGGAGGAAGAAGGCAGCCAAGAAACACACCAGACTTGATGAAGAAGAGGTGCAGTAGGATTGTTTTCTGCTTGTTGTATGCAGCGCCACATAGCTTTAGTTTCCATTTGGTTGCAATGCTTGCTGATAGCTCACAGGATTTCAAGACACAGAGATGTGCATGGCATCATTTGACCAACCAAATGAAACAAACTAGCCTCCAAAACTTCAAAAAAAAAGTTCTTATGACATGCCCATTTCAGGCTGTTTGTTTCTTGAAGCTGAACCTGGTACTTCAGTGTATTTCATAGGAGTTCAAGTGACAAGTGGGACTTCCTTTCTTAGTATACAGGGAAAATTATCCAAATACATGGTACTCGGGCAAGAGAGACATTGTTTTGTTTGTGTGTGAAGTTGAACGACGTCTAGGTGCAATAATGTGCATTATTGTTTGTATCAGTCATGATAAAACATTTCCATATGATTGCTTATAAATCACTGGGGACTGTTTAATGATGCTGTCTGCATCTCTTTACGTTGATATAGAAGCCAGGCTTTAGTCTGCTTTGTTATAAAAGGCCTTACAGAATTGATGTGTGACATCAGCTATTCCACACACTCTTAATATAATTAAAATAACTGCACACTTGTTTGTCACAGATGTCTGCAATGAACATGAACGACACTACAAACCACCGCAGAGAGGAAAGCAGAATAGAAATCCACAATGACCAAAATCCCAGCCGTCATCTCGGCAATGGGGAACACTCCAGCTCAGAGATGGCTTCAGAGAACCTGACACACTCCCTAGTGCTGGACCTGGGTTCTGTCAGCTTCCTAGACACAGTGGGCATTGGTGCTCTAAAGAGTATCATTGCCGACTATGAGAAGATTAACATCACTGTTGTCATGGCCCACTGCAAAGGTACCACTGGACTTGTAATTAAACCCCATGTTAAAAGAGGACTGAAGTTTAATCAGAGACAAGGTTGGATTAGGAGTAAGCAGTTCTTTATTCAGTGTGCTGTGAGTGAGACAATTATATATTCTTACCTGTCTTCATGGTCTTGAAAAAACATTAGCCCTTGTACAAACACGAATTTCTTTACTTAACAATCATTGCTTTGCATCATTCACTTCAGTTCCATTCAGTGGGTGCATGTTGGGGGGAAATACATGTATATAAAGACTTGCCCATTCTTTTAACTTGTGTTAGAATGATAGGACATTGTAGTTGACCTTTTGTTTGGAAAAGTGCTGGGTTTTTTCTTCGTTTTTCTTCCCTGACACCAGAGGATACGTTTGCATGATGCCTTTTAGTTAAGAGATTCCAGAAATTATGAGTCAGATTTTGGGATGCCATTTTCCAGTGCAATTTATAAAGCAGTGCATGTTCAGTACTCTCTTTTGTTGTGTGTTGTTAGCCATGAACCTACATGTAAGTGGCAGTGTACACCGTAGCATGATAGGACCAAGGCTGGGTGTTTATCCAATTTACTGCACAGCACCACCAAATCCACCGGTGTATTTATTTGCTCTTTTGCATTCAGCGGGGTTCTCATCATGTCAATTTTGTTGTATTTTGTTGCAGAGAGTAGGGTTCTTATTTCAGCTGTGGTTGCATTCTGTTGTATTTAGTAGGATTCTCATTTTCAGCAGTTTTGCATTTGGTTGCATTTAGCAGGGTTCTTATTTCAGCTGTGTTGCATTTAGCAGGGTTCTTATTTCAGCTGTGTTGCATTATGCAGGCTTCTTATTTCAGCTGTGTTGCATTAAGTAGGGTTTTCATTTCAGCTGTGTTGCATTTAGTAAGGTTCTAATTGTAGCTGTGTTGCATTTACCGGCAGGAAGGTTCTCATTGTGGCTGTGTTGCATTTACCGGCAGGAAGGTTCTCATTTCAGCTGTGTTGCATTTACTGGTAGCAGGGTTCTCATTTCAGCTGTGTTGCATTTGGTAGGGTTCTTATTTAGCTTGTTGCATTTACCGGTAGCAGGGTTCTCACTTCAGCTGTGTTGCAATAAGCAGGGTTCTCATTTCAGCTGTGTTGCATTTAGTAGGGTTCTCATTTCAGCTGTGTTGCATTTACCAGTAGTAGGGTTCTCCTTCCAGCTGTGTTGCATTTACTGGTAGCAGGGTTCTCATTGTAGCTGTGTTGCATATAGCAAGGTTCTCATGGTAGCTGTGTTGCATTTACCGGCAGCTGGGTTCTCAATCCAGCTGTGTTGCATTAGGTAGGGTTCCCATTTCAGCTGTTTAGGATTCTCAGTAAGCAGGTTGCCTAAACATAACCTGATTGGGGATGTGCTTAATATCAAGTGACTTAATGGACCAAGAAATGCAGCAAGTGGCGAATTTACCTCTGTCAGCAAATATCTTCAGACAACAGTTTTGCACTTCGACAGTTTCGGTACCTGAAACTCCTGTTTGGCATGTGGGTAATTCAAGAAATTACGGGACCAAAAGTGTGACATTTTCGTGTCCCTGTTACAACTGACCTTTTTTACTTGACATGGAAATATCACCGTAATTTATTTCAAACTGTTACTATTTGTTTGGCAAGTAATTTGCATAAATTGATCACTCTTGGAAATTAGAGAATGTGTTGTGAACTTACAAAATCATATGTCAGATGTAACAGGGACACAGAAAAAAATAGACCTCTGATTTCTGGTATTACCCATGTTTGAAAAGCCACGTTTTTTATTTGTGTACCTCATGTAGAGAATGTGCGGGAGATGCTCCTGAAGAGTGGTTTTATGGAACAGGTGGGACTGGACAGGATGTTTGTGACATTACATGATGCCATTCTCCACACAGCCAATGATCAGGCAGTTGCAGCAATGGTAAGTTGTAACCTGTGAGACCTCCTCCCAAATAAACAGGTTCTTTTGGTTTTAAGGCTCACTATAAGACTTTTAAGTCTCACAGGTAATCTCACAACAGGGACTTTATCCCAAGACCAGCTTTCTATGGGAAAGACACCTTTTATTAACAATTTGACTACCTGGTGTACTGAGCTGGCTGGTGTGAAAACCACTGTGTACGTACTGGGTTTCCTACAAACAACAGCTTGTTCGGGGAAAATCCATTGAAACTGTGAATGTTTTCTTCTGTTGTAATTACATGTGTGTTGCCATTTGTTGAGAAGTACAACGTTGTAAAAAAAGAAAATTGACCTGTGTCAGGGATATGACTTATATAGTTCTGGCCTTACTGTGCATTTAGACAACACTGGTAGATATAGATATAGTATTGGTTAAAAAGTTTTCTTTGCACCGGCAGAGTGAACAGAATGCTTGGGAGCATGTGCCCGGTGGAGGTGGAGGAGATGCCTCCTGTGAGATCATGGAGGTGTAACCAAGGAAACCGTTGCCAAGGTCGCATTGCTGAAGATTCAACTCCAAATCAACAAATCAGTCATCAGTCGCCATTCTGCCTGTGCCAGTCAAAGTCCCAACTTTTAATTTCCTTCAATCTCTCAGCAACTTTTATCAAAGCATTTATCTTGAGCAATAATTTTTAATTATATATATTTATCTAATTAGTTTATGATTTTTGTCAAATTTTTATGGATGTGGTTTATGTTGACTCAACTCATTTTGATACTGTTTCAGAGTGACTGATTTCGTAGCTTGGGCGTAATTTTGTCATTAATATACAACATACATATTTAGCTGACTGCAAAAAAGTCAGCTTTAGAAAAGCGTTGATTTAAGAAACGAAATTACAAAAACACAGAAGTCAAGTATAAAAATTACAACAAAAACTCCACAGTGTTGGGAGTTAACATGTGCCATAAAGGTGTGAAGTTTTTCAGATCCATTTGATACATTTTTCTCATAGTCATTTTTGTGCTTCTTTATACTATTTTTCAGTGTATGAAACATATTTGATACATTCATTTTGGATTAAAAAATGTGTATCAAAACTGCACTTTTTTAAGCATTTGAAATCGTCTGAGCTTTTCCGGACAGCAAGGGTGCCATTGCCTAGATGTTACTGAGGGAAGACACTGTCCAGTTTCATGTTTTTGTGTTCACATTGCAAACCCCAAACTTGCTCCTTGACAACGTCTGAGAAATAAAGTGTAGTTGCTCATGGGCTTATTGCCGTGTACATGTACTTGCACTACAATAAATCACCAAAAAAAGAGGCAATTTAGTGCAGCAAAATATAAGAACATTTCAGCAGTTTTGTGCACAAATACATGCAGATACAATGAAGTTTTCTCCATGGTATGACATCACAGTTTTGCTCATGTGTATGGAAATTTGCATTAGCTTAAAAACCAAAAGGGCATCTCAATGCTTTGAAATAGCCCCCCCCCAAAAAAAAAAATTGAAAATGAGGTTAATTGAAACCTGGAGGTGCATTTTCAAGAGTTGTAGTCTTAAAATAATTGCATTTCATGGACCCGGTAAGTATGCACACATAAAAATGCACTGAAATGAATACATGTAGATGTGTTTTGTTTTGATGTGTGGTACATGTACAAAGAAATTACATGTTCGTCTGTCCACAAAGATCCTTTTGATGTGCTATCATGCAATATAAAGGCTTCAGCCAAGAAAATAAACTTCAGTTATTGACATCAGTCAATGTTTCACTGCCGTTGTGTTAAGGAAATATGCAAGATATGTGAACTTCCGGACTCTTCTTTCCTATTACCTTTGAAAGTTTGTATTTTCTTCTTTTCAGGCCGTATCCAAATCTGACTTTTATGGTCACTGATCCAGATAAGGCCTTTTTATCAGCTTTATTTACTTTTCAAAATGTTATGGCGTGTTGTACAATAGTTTCAAGTTCTTTTGCTTTTATTTAACATTTGTTAGGTTTGTATTTTATGCAGAATCACCATGAGCAGATAGCATTTAGCCTATGGTCAGTGACATAAAAAGTTGTGCTTTTACATCTCAAGAAATGTATTTTCCATTATGACTATGCTCTATTATATTATTGTGCATCTCATAAATTTTCAATTACTTTCTTACTGAATTATTAAATTTCTTTTAAATTGGCAGTACGAAAAACTTTGACAGTTTNTATTTATTTTCATAAATAAAAAGCTGCTTATTAACAGTACCGTGTTTCCATTATTTATCAGGAAATCAATAACTTGTACATTTTTAATCATGAACTGGTTTGTTTTTAAGAAATCTGTAATTTATTCTACTTCCATTAAGTGTAACATAACTGATGCATTCCAGAGTTTTGCTGCAAGGTTATTTGGACTTATCTCTAAAATGTACATGTTGGTGGTGTACCAACATCTCTGTACATGTAGATCAGAACTTAGCCTAGATATTAGCTGTAATCCGACATGAATGAGAACACAGAATATTACAATGCATCCGTGTGGCACATGTACGCACCACAAGGCCAAAGGAAGCAAACTTCAGCACAGTAAAGATTTAAAATGTTACCAGTATTTATCTGAAACCCTTAAAGAGCTGGGTGGAGCACTTTTTCTGATATTGTTGCATGGCATGTCTGTTTCTGCTAAGCCTTGAGGAGTTTTTCCTGTCATGTCTGGTGATATTTTGACACCAATTTGTGAAAATCTGACATACTGTTCTCACAAAAAGCCTATGTTTTCAAGACAGGTCAGCTCAGTAATAATGAAGACTTCCCATTAATGTGCTCAGTGCACTTGGGACCAACAAGTACGAGGCCACGAACTTCAAATGACCCTAACAACTCGCCCTTTGTCAATTTGAATTGAAACTTCACAGATGTGCTCATGATGAATGCCTTTATGGGTGTGCTCAGTTTCAAAAGGATAATGAATTGGAAAGTCAGGATGGGGGAGGGGCAACGACAGTTCTCATAGGGTTAACACATGACGATCTACATGCGGTCCACATGTGGCTTTTCTGAATTCATGATAGATTGTGTAGTCCTGAATTGTTCTGTGTATGGAAGGAGTACGCTTACCCTTGGAGTAGTGCAGTACAATTAGCGTTGTAAGGGCCTGGATATACGGCTGTTATTTTTATGAAGCAAAGTCTGTTGCCGTGGATTGACCAATGAGAGTGATGGATTCAAGTTTGCATGGAGTGAACAAAATTGCAAATACGCACTGTAAACAGGGTAAAAGAATGGGCAGGGAGGTGCCACTGCAGTCAGATGTTGACTAGTTGTATGCTGGGCTCCATTGGCATTGAAACACACTGCTGTGTGCATGTACTTGGCAAGTATGGGTCTGGGTAAAATGGTATGTGTTACTGAAGCCATGGTGTGCTGGCTGTTTGTGTATTTCATTTGGGCACTTTCATAAAAGTGGCATGCTTGGGAAATCTACTCACACGGAACCGACGTCACAGTTCAGCATGTAAGTGATCGGATGGTGATGCTGGTTTGCCAAAGTGGTTGTTAGACACATTTTGATGTGTTCATCGCTGTTCATGCAAACCTTATTATCAAAACTACTGTACATGCATTGGCTTGATCCCTCTGCCACGTAGCCACCTGCTTCAATATCAGTGGCTTATTGGGGAGTTTCATGTTTCCTCGTGTAGAGTGATTCCTATATCCATTTGGTTCACACCTGCATTGAAATCGTGTACATGGGAGTACCGGCACGTACTTTTTACTGCTCACGTTGTACTCAAAGCTTTGAATATCTCTGTATTTCAGGCATTTTGCCACTCTTACAACTTGGTCCTAAACAATTTCTTTCCTCTATGCAACTGGTGGCAAATACATATACCTGCCTTTGGAATAATTTTTACAAGTATCAGGTTTTCTCACATATTTAAACTCATGTAATCATCAGAACAAGTCCATGTCTCAATGATGTGGCTGTGGGCAGAAGTAGGATGCGCATCTATGGGAGTAGCCACTAGCCACTTACCAGCTGTAACAGACCAGCTCTTCGTATGTGTGCTCACGTACCAAGTGTGGACTTGTAAATAAAAAGTGTCCACATGATGCAGGAAGCGAAGACATTCTGTGGACTTGCCCATGTCCACTGGACATTTCCCCTTCTCTGATAGGTTTAGAGGCATTTGGGGGTTAGGGTTATCGCATAAAAGAAAGAGGAACAGTCAAGGAAACATTTTACAAAAATCCCACTGAAAATCTTGTTCCCAGTTCTTGACAAATGAGTATTTTAACCGAGTTTTCTTAACTGCACGAAAACAAAGGATATCCACACCAGGTATGTACCGCAGTTATGGGTGTATGGTTCTGTGTAGTGGTCCATGCCTTTTCTTTACTAGAAAAAAGAATTGAATCACCGACTGGGCAGTTTTTTAACAGGATAAATATGATGCATTACCTTAAATATGTGCTGTTGGAACATGCATTTAGAAGAGGTTTTTATTTTTCATCGTTGAGACAGAACAGATTAATTCCAATTCCAAATTGCAGATGTCTTATATGATCTCAGGTACCGAATGGACAGTACATGCAGTGTTTGTCAAATAATAAATTGAATTTGTGTAAATTGTTTAATGTAGCAATAAAATGAAATGATGCAGCTGAAGATCAGAGTTTGTGTCTTTTCATTGAAATGCATTTGAACACCAAATGTCGACCCTGAAAATGGGATTGAATTTGCTTGGTGTTGGGGTATGTCTATGTCTTATTTAAGACTTAAATAATGGTGAGGCCTCATAGATTACAGGCAATGTGATTATCTTGGTTGTATTTATATTTATTTCAGTTGTCTTTATTGGAATGGAAGCAATATGTAACCTAACTATAACAAATGATTCACAAGTTACCAGAAACCACTCTTGAGTTAAAGGCTTTAAAGAAAATCTTAATGTAAATAAATATTCACCCTCAATATTTATCATCCACATAGTACCATTAGTATTTTAAACTGATTTATACCTCAAAAACTTATTATATGTGCTCTTTTGCCATAAACTATTTTTAAAAAGAAGGAAAAGGACTCAGAACTAATTTTGTGGGATTTGGCTATATATATCCTTTCCACACATATAGGCTCTTCTGGGAGAACATTCACCCTAGAGCCCTCAATCCTCCAATCCCAATAGGACTTTACATACACCCCGGAGGTTGGGGTTAAACCATAACATAAGTTTCATCTTGGTAAAATTACAGATAGCTCCATTATCAACAAATTGTCTATTAACCCTGATTTTACATACACCCTAGGGTTAAGGTTAACCCCGTTGCACCGGGAGGCGGCTATAGCCGCCGTAAAAATTGAGATCTCAGCCCGCTTTTCAGCTATTACTCTCAGCCCATGCTCAAGCGAACACGGTGAAAGAAGGCAGACCCTGGCTCTTGTATATATGGTATTGGTCTTTGTGCATAGCCCAGAAATGAAAAGACCGATTTTGCATCATTATCACCAGCTTCACAATAGTCCCCACTATGAAAAGAGGCAACCGAACAATCAGCCTTTTCACCGTGTAATTCAAAGCGTACAGAGCACGCAGGGCCACAAACTGAATTTGCGGTTTGGCAGGTGGCCTTCGTGGCCAAGCGAGGCTGGAATTCATGGAGTCGGCTTTTGGGAAGAAATTCCCGTCGTCAAGGGGTTAAATTCAATTAACTTCAAGTTTTCAAAATGTCAATGTACATGTTTCCTTCCTTCAAAATGAGAAAAAAGGTAATCGCAACGTTTTAGGGACAAACTTTCCTAAATAATATAAACCTAATTGCTTTATAAAATCGTAATTGTCAGCATACTAGGATTAATACATAGAAACACTAAAAAGAAATACATGCATATATAAAACAGTAAAAAAACGACTACTCAAGAAACCCTTCTAAAACTGCAACGACTGAGGTAGAACACGTTGGTACAGATGAAACTGGTGACCAGCATTACACTATCACTGGACATTACCGATGGTCCCCTTCAATGGAGAAAGGCATTGTACATAACAAATGTTCTGTGGCACGATAGTGTCCATCACTGAAGGCCCGGGGGGGGGCATCGTGGATGTCCAGTGACAACATCACTACATAATGACTACAACTGGGCACATTGGGAAGGGATACAAAAATTAAATTTTGGTAAAATGACGTTTTATAGTTTGGTTCCTTAAAATACTGGCACGGCTATCAGGATGTCCCATTATAATACTTGACTTCACAGAAGCTGGTCCAGGTTTATCTACACCGTAAGTTGGATATAATGAACTGTGTGATCTACACATACAAAATACTGCCACCCTAGCTGTTATATAACTACATCCACATAATGGGACTTAATTGGTTTGGGGAACTGGAGGGAAAATGATCAGATTTTCCAACTATCCAGCTTCCAAATAACTCTAGGAAATACTGTGTTATTCAACCCCTTTTATCATATAATAATTTGGATTCTCACCCAAATTCATCAAAGAAATTCACACACGACTTACTATTTCAATACAGCAGTACACTCAAGCTGATTTTGATCACACACTAAATTAATAGATATATTGGCAGGAACTCAAAAGAAAAAAAAAACAACCCACACATAAATGCGCAATTTTACTCCAAATAAAACACATAAGCTGGTCAAAATGAGTCTGAAATTCAAATGCAAGTAGCAGCAACAGTTTGGTCAAACCGGATTCATACCATCACACACATATATTTCCCACCAAGGGTAGGTCAAGGCCTTTGGTGGGAGAGTCTAAAAGTTTGAGGATTGCAATGTTTATGGTTTTTTCTCGGGAGTGAGGGTTAAAGTCGGATTTTACACACTTCAGGGAGGAAGGGGAATGATATGTCCAAACAGTTATTTTCGTGTAAAAGCCCAAACTGACAACAAGCAAGAATGTTTATTAACAATTATTAACTTTTTATCTCTCGGTCAGTCAGGCTGCAAGGGATTGTCAAAAAGACAACATGGACTTTGACCAGAGCAGTTTGCAAATGACACTTTGCATTGCCGGTGACTGCAATTTCAACATTTCGCACAATGCACTACTCATAAAAGCCATAATATTAGAACATAATTGTCATGTATTCGTATTTTTCAAACTTTTTTGGGAATGATGAATTATTTCATCACAAAGGATGACAGGTACTACTCTACCAAATAATGGGCAAGGACAAATGAATAGATGGCCAAGTACTGAATCGTTTTCATTTCATCTTGTTTGATCTTTCTTGGGAGGCAGAAAAAAAATAATAAAATTGGTATCTAAACTGGCATATTTACGTAACTGTTAAATGTGCGCCTTCCTTGACAGCATTAAAATGATTTCTAAACTGCAAAATAGATCTGCTTTGTTACAAATTTTTTATTACATGTATCTACATCTCGATTTGTGTTTGGGAAATTTCATTAAAGAGGGTACAAAAACCACAAAATCACATTTGTCCTCAAAAAATCCAAAGCGCTGACAATAATATGAAATTTTAAAATTTGAAAGCATACATGGTGGCATTACAATGCTACACTTTCCACTTTCTTCATTTCAGATAGAAATGTTATTGCAATGATTTTTCTTTTAATACCCACAAGAGTTATTGCGGCATAAGGAGACAAGTATCAACAATTGCCATCAGTGCTTCGGAAGACATTTCTTCAAGTTCTGGAGGAGTTCAGCTATCCATATCAGACCGATGTCTCTGACTGGTCCACTGGCAGGTTGGCAGCGATTGAGGTGCTGGCCTGTGTTGCGACTTGAGTGGTGTTTGGGCAGTTGATGTCGGTCGGCGAACTTGTCTGTGAATGAAAGAATGGGTGCAGGTTCACTACAGTGGTCATATACAGGGGTAGTTTACCTTAAAGTATGGTACAAGGCTTCCCAGTAGAGCACTTTCTATACAGCAATCCCTTCTGACAGCAAGTTTATTTTTGGAGCTTTGTGTTTGTGAAAGTGAAGGATGGTTGGCTAGCTTCAAGGTAAATTTAAGTATCAACCAATAAAGCTGAAAAGTGGAAATCGAACAAAAATCTCTTTCAGACAGGACAAAAGGTATCACAAGCGCTAGTGACAACATGACACTCAAAACCTCATTTTCTCCAGTACTGTAGTTACAACCCATTATGACTTTCATAAGATCCCACAACACCAGCACAAGACCTCCAGTCTGAATTGAAGTCACAAGTTATGACTTCCTTTGTTGCTGTTCAAAGCTTATCACTGGTCTATTGTCTGGTATGGAGACAGCCTCAACGCCACCACTGCCCCTTTTCACAGAAAAGACTGTAGCCTATTCTATTCCAACTGATGTATAAAATAACATGCCATTGATGGATTCTGGGAATAAGACTTTCTACAATGCATTGTCATTACTGGAGAGGTCCTCCTGTGGGTACTGTTGCTCATTATATTGTTTGAGAGTCTTCTCCACACCAAAAGGGGTGAAAAGTTAATAGCAACTGATTTCTAATGGCTCTTAGGCACACTCTGGGCGACCGTCGTAAACAGATCGACTTTTCAAAGGACTTCAAGCTAGGGATGTCAGTGGGATTCAGGAATGGACAAACTACCCTACCGGAGTAGCTGGCAGATGCTGGGAGTGTAGAACAGCGTCGTGCAGTGTCAGGTACATGTGATCCAGCCCTACGCTGTGGTCCTCACAGCGCTCAAAGTACTGGAGTATGGCCTCTCTTGTAGCAGCTGAAATAACAGGTTGGATAGGAAAATATAAAGTTGACACACCAATGCACACGATGACGGCAGAATCTGCTTCGATGACGGAGGATTGGAAATCTGTCTTTTTTACATAATTGATTTCAATTAATTTTCAAGCCTTCACCACAAATTGTACCCATGAGAGTCTAATTTTTTCACAAATCTCTTAAAGTGCTGTTTGCTCAAGTTTTTGGTTTTCGTCATAAGATGTTTGATAATTTTTCTCCAAGATCAGCTTGAACAGTGAAAAGTTTGACTTATCAAGGGGCATCATAGAGCTACAACGAACATTACATCACTAGAAAGCTGACTCCTTATTCCCACGTGGAGAAGCTTTGAAGCCTCTTGGGATTCATAAATTCTGAATGTATGCAAGTATTTGTAAAACACAGTAACATAAGACGACAGGAATTCTTGATAATGTATTCTAAAATGCACCATGCACGTACAACATTCACAAGCGACATTCAGCATGTTTTCTGCCTGTCGTTTCCAGCCTGTTTTAGTGTCTGCAGTGCCAATACATATATGTTTCTATTGTTTACATGAAGCAAAACTAAACCTTAATTTACTGATAGTGCGTTTTGGAATAGGTTTCCGGGGTATCTGCTTTGTTAATGCATTCTTTTAGAATACAGACGCAGATATGCAAATGGCTGTACGAACGCCATACAACATTTCAAATTTTCCATAGGTTTGTGCAAAAACACTGATGTGCCCAGCTGGCCTCTCTCTGCACAGTGAATTAGCGCTCTGAAATATTAGCTCTGTAAGCAACATACGAGGGCGTGTTTATATTGTCCAAAATCAACATCAATGTAAGACCAAAGAAAATGCTAAGGAAATCTATATTGGTGAGGCATAACTTTATGCAGTCAGGAGGAGAAAATGAGGAGTCTTTTTCCTCACCTTTGGTGCTGGCAAACACCACCTGAATGTCTCGCTTGGAACAGTGGGCCACAATGGCATGCAGCGTCTTCAGGCCCACGGTGTCGATGAAACCAAACATGCTGCAGTCTACAATGATGGTGTGGATGACTGCTGTCTCGGTCAGGCTGGAGGCTTCCGAGTTCACATCGGATGATGGGAGAGAGACGGTAGGAGTCTCTCCATTGGTGTGCTAAAAGACACAACATTTGAAGCTTTTTAAGATTTACAGTCTTTGGGAAAACTCCTCATTGAGCTGCATCTCTCAATTTGCTGATTCCGTGATGAAAGTATATGAAACAAGGAATCACTCATTGAAAATTAATATGCAAATAGCAAAATCTTGTTTTAAATTATATCGATATTGCTCTTTTCATTGAAAAGGGAACACCATAAGTTTCTGCTTAACTCTAGATCTGCGTATTATTTACAGATGGAACTGAGCAACCCATGAAAAATAGAGCTTTTGGAAGTTACATACCAAGACTTATTTTGCATATCAGTACACTGCATGCATCAATATTTTCACTGGAATGCGTACAAATTCCCAATGCCTTCATGAGAAACGATGCCCCTTGACAGGGGGCATGGTGGCATAGACACTGAAGTATCCTTGACAACAGTTAAGTTTTGCACAAGTCCATGCCATGCAGTGATCTGTGCTCTTGGTTCTTAATGCCTCAGTCTTTTTACAAAGGATAAAGTGTTAGATGAGTGAATTCTAGAAGTTTCATTATGGGATGACCTTATGTGGAAATTGTGCTGTGGCTGCAGATGTCTGGGGTTAATTCAATTTCGGGGAAGAAAACTACTATATTTTCAAGACCGGCAAAGCTTTTATTAAATTAACCCTAACCCTATATAATACTACAAATTACTACTTGTAGTAAAATGTAGTACTGAGCACTGTCGCTTGTAAGAGGACATGACTTTATTGTTCTGTGAAGCCATAAGATACAATAGATAAGACAATGTACCATACAGTGCTGTGGCACTATGAATGCATGGCTTTATTGTTCTCTGTACAAGTAACAATGAAAGTAACCCAGCCAGAAGTAGTAATCTGTAGCACTAGGTCCCTCAGGCTCAGACTAGTGTAAGCCAAACAATAAGCTTGGCAGTTAGGGTTAAAGAAGTGGCAGTCTACACTTACAGACTGTTCCCCATTGGGTATGGTATGGCCGTTCTCTCTGCTGGGGCTGTCTCTTTCTTGTTTCTTCTTGAACACTTTGGAGTAGAGGCTGTTCTTGAAGTATTCAGCGTTGACAAAGCAGAGGCAGGAGTGAGCACGGAAGATCCTTATACCGGGAATCTGCTCAGCCTGATGGAGACAACAAAACATGAGGTACAGGTGATGGCTGGTAAATCTCTCCAAGCACTCTGACCTCTCATAGTTCAATTAACCACCTACCAACAGTATTCTTCCATGTGGTACTGGTCCTGGGCTCAGTATTATTGTCAGCTGCAAACAACTTTTTAAAACAACAAGATACCAAAAACGGAATCCTTTACACAGTTGGATATTTACTGAGCCTTGATGATAATTTGTTCAATTTTTGTACGACCTTTCTTACTGCATCATTGCTTGTTTAAAAAACTCCAAAAAATTGATTCCTCATTAAAATGTACATTACAAACACATGTAAGGTAATGTTTGGAGCAAGTCAAACTTTCTGAAAGTGATCCAGCAAGGAAGGCACTCAAGCAGAAGGTCTACAGAGATCTTTGGCTTACCGCCTCGTAATACTTAATGTCCCTGTAGATGTCTGTGCCTGGGATGCGTCCCATCAGGGTGCAGTATGGCTGCTGCGTCCGGATGATGACTGTCATGAGGGAGAAGACCACGCCCAGGGCGAGGCCAATGTCCACACCCAGGAGAACAACTCCCAGGAATGTGACCATCCATATTAGCTGGTGATAACAGACACAAGCAATTACCACAGCTTAATAACCTTCTTGTATATCTGACATATTGGTGGATTAATGTGTAATACTTACATTTCTCTGTTTGACCACCTTACCAGTGTTTCAAAGTACAGATCAATTATACTGAGACCACAATATCATTCGCTGAGTACAAAGATAGATTTACAAGGTTGATATTACGAGCTGTGTCATATATTGCTCAATTAAGACTGTATCCGATGTCATTTTAAAGAATTTAGCCAGTGAACAATATCAAACCACACCAAGTAAAAAACTTATATGTAACTATGGTATATAAAAAAATAAATAAAAAATGCTCCCGATTTTGTTAAAGTAGCAGGAACAGTAGTCGCTGGGGAGTCAGGTTGGTGGAGTGGTTCTTTCCTTGCCTTCCACCTCTTGTGGTCTGGGTTCGATTCCCGGCCCGGTCCACATGTGGATTGGGTTTTCAGTCCCTACCTGATACTGTGGGTTTTACCCAGACTTTTCCTCTGGGGTTTTCCTCCCACCTCTAAAACTGTAACTGTTTCTCTTTGTCTCCTCTCTACAGGTGTCTTCAGGCTTGGGAACTACAGTGCCTAGGGCAGGAATCCTTGATGTCATTACCAGAAATAATAAATAGTAATAACAGTCATTATCACTAACTCCAAACAAAGCCCTACAGTTTTCTCTCCAACTTCTCCCAAATCCACTGCCCTTAAACCCCATGATAAATTCACTGCACAAAAAGGCAGAGCTGGTCATCTGCAGCCATCTGGAAAAAATTGCCCAACAATTTGCAGTTAAAAATCTCACTCAGTTTCCAGACAAACTCGCTGTCATTATGAACGGTGGCCATTTCTTCAAAGATGGGATCAATTTCATGAAGCTGTGTTACAATTGTGCTTTCTACAGCAGCAAGTTTGCCAACTGAGGGCATTTTTTCATCACAGTGCTTGGCGTGGTTGTGTTAATGGTTGCGTATGCATAGAGATATCATTGCTATGTTACTAAGTTAAGCAGATGTAAGCATGGGGCCAATCTCACAGAGCTGCTTCAGCACAAAATTTGCTTATGCACAAAAAACCTAGCTTAACCACTTCGTGCCGGGGCATTTTTCAATGTTGATGATGCTGGGCCAGCATGACTATCATTTTTTCCGTTTTCAAAATCCTTCGAAAAATTCATTTCATTTAACGGTCATTTATAGCCGCACGAGGTAATCTTCAGGCACTACTCTAAGTTGATAGA